TGTTGTTGTTGTTGTTGTTGTTGTTGTTGTTGTTGTTGTTGTTGTTGTTGTTGTTGTTGTTGTTGTTGTTGTTGTTGTTGTTGTTGTTGCCTTTGCTGCTGCTTGGTCTTATTGTTCTTACTAGTACTTCGTCATTCCCACCATCCTGGTCCTCCCATCCCTCCTCTTCACTGATACTACTAGTCTCAGTGGTGCTACTAGTACCATTGATTATTAAATCCATTTGATTATTTGTTTGATCTTGTAGTAGCAATAGTTACTACAAACAAAAACAATAAAGCATCACCACCACCAGCCACAACAGCACTACTAGTAGTAGTCTAAATGCCAAATATCTTTGGTATACTGTGTATTTCTACTAGTACTAGTAGTAGCACAAAATACTAATAGTAGTAGTGCTACTACCAGCAGTAATCGTACTAATGGTATATGTTTTCTTATATTTTTGTAAACTAAGGAAAGTATTACCAAACCAACTGGAATAAAAATTTGATGCTACCATATGTAGTAATGATCTTCTCCTCTGTGTACTAAGAATCCCCAATATTACCATTAGTGTGGTATTCCAAGGAGCATTTTTAAAAGTCCAAGGTGACACCCTACCAGTGCTAGCAAAAACTGCTGTTACTACCAGTGGGGACTAGACCAAAACCCCTCAAATGAAAAATAACTAAAGAAAATTGAAAAGCTATTTTACTGCTGCAAATTTTTAATTGCAAATGTTTTTTATTGGTCCTTTTCCCTTATTTGCACTTTTTCTTTCTTGTGAGAAATCCTTTCTCTTTCAATGGTGCTGGGCTTCTTGTTTAGTTCATTGAAGCCCAGGTACTCAGTGAAATGGGCTATTTCATGCAGTACAAGCCCATATTTTTCTGTGCAATGACTGCAAGTAGTAATGCCACAAACAAACTAAATATGCCCAATGTACATGTTCAATGTTGATTTTTTGAACCCCATGAGTCATCATTGAATTGTCATAAGTATTGTAGTATGCATTTGCCCATAGGTCATGACACAACAAAAACAAGTACCTCAAAGTCCACTCACTGCATTTTCTAATTGCAGAAACTGTTTTTGTGTTGAACTAGTGGTTTGAGCTGTATCTTGGTCCCCAATGGAGGCTCAACAGTGCTAGTATGTATCCCCATTTATTCTTAGCAATAAAGAGAAGATTTTAATTGTATGGGGGGGGTTAGGGGAAATTACAGCTTAGGAGTATATGAAGTTAAAAAGATACAACTGGAATTGTACTTCTTTGTACACCCATTCCATATGAAATGAGTGATGCAGCACAACCAGAAATCCTCAACAAGCATGGTTCAATTATTTTCAGGACTTCATGTGCTATCTCTGTAATGAGCAGTCCAGGATATGTCATGACAGATATGTTGCAGAGCATACTGATTGCAAGATGATGCAATTTTATTCTAGCTACAGCACATTCTGATGAAAAAGGAACAGGCAGAGCTAATACAAGAATTAAAAAATGATGACATAATCAGTCTATGTAGGATCTATGCGCTACATGTAGCAAGTCAGTTCCACTTATGCTTCAACAGGCTCCTCGACAGGAGGACGAACAAATGGCTCCCCTGTAGTTTTTTCAAAAACAGCAATAGCATCGTTACATCGCTGACAAGCATCATCATGAGGGAGACCATGTTTCCCAATTTGCTCGTCGTAAAACCAGCATCGACCGCATTTTGTTCCCTTTGCTTTCGCAACTCCGACGACACATCCACTAATTGTATCGGCGGTTGAAATGTATTTCTCATCACAAGACTCCGAAATCTTTTCGGGGCTGTCAACGATATGAATTTGAGAAAGCATCAGAGTTGTTCTTAGTTCATCGACTCCATTGGTCTTCACAGGAGGGACAACTAGGCTTACGTCACCCGCAAGGCTTTCAAGGATCTTTCGTTTCTCTTCATCAGCCATGTACAGGTATGCGGCTGCATCAAGGGAAGCGCCAACCAACTTGTCGTTACGTGCTCCCTCCAACATCTTATTGACATCGTCACGTACTGCTCGTACCAAATCCCACTTCTCGGACTCGAATTGTTCGAATTCTGCCAAATGAGCCGGCCAACCACCCTCGAATACACTTTCGGTAGTTTTTTCGTACGGCAAATTTTGCCAGATATCCTCAGCCATGTGCGGCAGAATGGAAGCAATACCCTTAGCGAATCCTTCGATGAGCGCATGCAAAACTGTCTGACAACTTCTTCTTCGGAAGTCGTCCGAAGCTGAAATATAAAGACGATCCTTTGCCACATCAAGATAGAAATTCGACATCTCAGCTGTGGCAAATCGCAAAAGTTCTTGCGTTGCTCTCTGGAATTCGAATGCATCCATCGCTTCGTCCACTTCCTTTAGACTGGCACTGAGTCGACCAAGCATCCACTTATCCAGGGAAGGTAGTTCGTCGTAAGGAACAGCGGTAGAGTCGGGTTGTCCTTCGGGAACAAAGTCAGCCAGATTTCCAATCAAGTATCGGGCTGTATTTCGTAGCTTTCTGTAACTCTCAAAGGTCTGCTTGATAATGTTTGGACCGATACCCACATCTCCGGAGTAATCTACGGATGCAACCCAAAGTCGGAGGACGTCGGCGCCATACGCTGGTTCAAGTTTTTTGTTGTTACCTCCTTCGATGACATAAAGAGGGTCGATGACGTTTCCAAGAGACTTCGACATTTTGAAGCCCTTTTCGTCCAAGACAAAACCATGAGTCAACACAGTTTTGTACGGTGCTTTATCGTTCACGGCTACACTTGTGAGGAGACTACTCTGGAACCAACCTCGATGTTGGTCACTTCCTTCCAAATACATATCTGCTGGATATGCCAATTCGTCACGCTCGCTTGCTACACCTGCCCAACTGGATCCAGAGTCGAACCAAACATCCATGGTATCAGTTCCTTTCTTCCACTTGTCCGCTTCGGCCTTCAATTCCTCTGGAAGCAAATCAACCTCATCCAATTTCCACCAGGCATCGCTGCCCTGTTCGGCAAAAATCTTTTCGATATGCTCCAATGTGCTGTCGTTGAGAAGCACTTCGTTACCGGTTTCTCTGTCGTAAAAGACAGGGATAGGAACACCCCAAGAGCGTTGGCGAGAAATACACCAATCTCCACGACCAACTACGAATGAGTTAATACGATTCTTTCCAATCTCTGGAACCCATTGCACCTACATTTGAGTGAATCGGAAAAGTAAAAGGAAGTCTTGAGTCAAGTCGGAAAAAGAAAGAAGTCTCTTCAGGTAGATGTAAAACACAGACTTTTTCCGAGTTTCAAGGCCGCCTTAAAATATAAGAAGCCATCAGGTACTCCAAGCCTTGAAACGGACTCTGTGCTACATGGAATTTAAATACTCACCGTGTCAACTGCCTTGAGGGCAGAATCGCGGAAGCCTTCTACGCTCGCAAACCATTGGTCGGTTGCTCTGAAGATGGTTGGCTTCTTAGTTCTCCAATCGTAAGGATACTTGTGGCCATAGTCTTCGACCTTTAGCAATGCGCCAGCGGTGGTCAGTGCATCAATCATTGCTTGGTTACCTTCGCCTAGAACGTTCAATCCCTTAAATTCTTCTCCAGCCTCGATTGTAAATTTACCAGCATCGTCAACAGGACTCAAAAGTTCCAATCCATTCTTGAGTCCTGTTAGGTAATCCTCTTGTCCGTGACCTGGAGCTGTATGGACAAGACCAGTACCAGATTCGGTGGTAATGTAATCGCCTCCTTCTAAAACAGGGGAGTTTCTATCGTACAGAGGGTGTGTGTATTTCGTTCCGACCAAGTCTGATCCAGGCATGGTGGAAACGATTTCGAAGGATTCTCCTTCCGGCAATCCAACCTTGTTCTGTTCATCGAAATATCAATAACAAAACCGGTTGTAGAATGGGGATACGAAATATTTGTCAGCAAAACAAAAATAGGGTGAGAATTGAAGGATGAGTGACATGAAGCTAAATTCTGAATGGTCGCCATGGTTGGAACGCACCGCGATTGTTTCGATCAAATCCGTCGCAACTACCAATTTCCCGGTACTTGCGTGGTTTACCACAGAGTAGGAAAGTTCGGGATTGATAGCAACTGCAAGGTTTGCAGGCATAGTCCACGGTGTGGTCGTCCAAATTGCGACCTTCACAGGTTCATCTTCGGAATGGTATTCCTTGAGGCCATCGGAGGGTTCTACAACTTCGAACCCTACATAGATCGATTTCGAAACATGGTTTTCAGGGTATTCCAACTCGGCTTCAGCCAGTGCTGTTCGCGAGGAAGGAGACCAGTGAACTGGTTTCCGTCCACGGAAGATGAATCCCTTTTGAAACATTTCTCCAAAGACACGGATTTGTGCCGCCTCGAATTTTGGTTGGAGAGTGAGGTACGGCTTTTCGAAGTCTCCGAAAATACCGTATCGCTGAAAGCTCTTCGACTGATCTTCCACTGTCGCCTTGGCAAAGGAGGCCGCTTTCTCTCTGAGTGTAACGGGGGTGAGCCCCTGTCGTTCTTTGGATTTCATCGTTTGGAGAACCTTTAGTTCGATGGGCAAACCGTGGCAATCCCAACCAGGGATGTAATGAACCTGCTTTCCGTTCAATGCTTGTTTGCGGTTGATAAAATCTTTGAGAATTTTGTTGAGAGCATGACCGCAATGCAGACTTCCGTTAGCATAAGGCGGTCCATCGTGCAAAACGAAGCGTTCTTTTCCTTCCGCGGATGCTGTCTCTGAAAGTTTGTCGTACAGTCCGTAATCTTTCCAGAATTCTTGGATTTCTGGTTCTCGCTTAACAGCATTTGCTCTCTGATTGAATCCAGTGTCGGGAAGAATGATAGTTGAAGCAAAGGGATTTTTTGGCCGCTTCTTTCGTCCACCGCCGCCCCCACCTTTTGCTGCAAGGGTAGTCGATGTTCTGCTAACCGCCTGACGCAAAGAAAACGAACTGACGCCGATTCCTCTCAGCGCAAGTGCCGAGAGGAGGAATGCCATGACTGCTTCACCGATGATCCTCATCCCGATTCCTATTGCTAATTCTAATGCTTTGCTCGTCCAAAATCTTCTTGCAAGCAATGAGAACTTATTTGGTGATGTTGATGCGATGTTCGTTTTTAAAACAGATTCTGATGATGGCACTGCTTTACACGTTGTGAAGGATCAGAATGATGGGTTGCGTTAGAGATAAAAAATTATCGCGACCACGCAGAGTTGAGTCGTCAGTGAAAAACTTTTTATTCTGGGTACTTCCACGTGGAATGTGGATGCAAAAAATTCGCGCAATGTCTTTCTCAAAATCTCTCATCCAGTTTTCACTTTCAATTTTAAATTATTCGCGTCTCCTACCGGTACCGGTACGGTCGTATTCCTACTGTAAAATGTACGAGTACGTACGTACGAACTCTCATGACATCTTCAACAAACACCATCGTCTAGTGTTACCGTACAGAAATCAGAAACGACTGAACTACTGTCTTTGGAACTGGCGTACGTATGATATGGTAGTGGATTAGCGTACAAGTACCCTTTCTCGTGTTTTTATGAGATACTTTTTGGCTCCACCGAGGAACGACAGGAAAACACACATAAATGGACCCGACTTTATGTCAGGAATTGTTCTACAATTATTCGAGAATCGACATGAGTTGAACTTGACTTAGAAAGTGAAATAGTTGACATTGCTGCAGAGATGAAACCTGCCGAAACTTCCTCGTTGAACGACGACAATGCCAGGACGAAGGGTTTGACGAACGACTCGGCAAGAAAACCATCCAGCGGAAATTCTGTGTCCCGTGCCAGCAAATCCAATGCGGTTCGAACGTCTCTTCTCGCTGGGAGTGCAGCTGGAATTATTTCGACGGCTGCGTGTCACCCATTCGACGTCCTTCGCGTGAAGATGCAGTCGTCTGCACCAGCGGCAGCGGCCGCACTGACCAACGCAACGGGCGGTACAGTCGGCCTGGTGGGAACCATTCGAAACACAATTCAGTACGGGGGTGGTGTACGGGCACTGTACACAGGACTGGCCATGCCGTTGGCAGCTCAGGCGATTTACAAAGGGACGATATTCTCTGTCAACAGCCTGACAGAATCCTTCATTCGAGATTGGAACACGCGAGAAAAACGTGAATTCGGGAACAAGTACGAGGTGCCATACAGATTGACGCTCACCGATCGGTTCATATCGGGATTCATGGGCGGTGCCGTCAACGCGGCACTTTTTTGCACACCCGTCGAGTATGTTCGGAACCAACAGATCGCCCTCATTGAAAACGCAGCTGCAGTTGCCAAGGATGCTGGTAGCGGTTCCTTAAACAACACGACTAGAAACAATGGCCCCATCTCTGTGATTCGAAATACCATTCGATCCCAAGGCATCTCCGGACTATGGCGTGGAATGACGAGTACGATCCTGAGAGATTCGGTGGGGTGTGGATTTTTCTTTGTGGCAATGGCCTATTCCCAGGAACAGCTAACCCCAGAACACAGCAATCGGCCCCCGTCAACCCCGGTTGTGATTTTGTCGGGAGCGCTCGCCGGGGTATCCTTTTGGCTCTGGGCGTTGCCTGTCGATACCATGAAAACCTGGATTCAAAACGGGTCGGCTTGCAACCTTTCCCATGCGTTAAGAATGTGTCAGCACCACGGGATCTTGCGAAGCGTTCCTTCACTGTTTCGGGGTTGGCAGGTTGCCTATTCCAGGGGTGCGCCATCGGCAGCAATTACCGTTGTGACGTATTCGTTTGCATCTCAATATTTACAGGGGCTGTCCTAGACGAAACTATGAATTCTCGATACACAATAAACTAGTAGGAGTTATGATTGATTTCACATGCTATCCACGAATGGTGACGACACTTTGTCATTTCTTCCAGGATGAGATATCGACGATAATTTCCGTTAACCAAGAACGGTAGATCAAATCATGGAATACTGAAATGTCACTTGTCGTGTTTTTCCTAGTCCCCATTCTGACACGCCTGTGATTCATCATCGATTACGACGACTTGTCACAATCATTCCCCAAGTTCTTTCCCCAAACCTGTATCTGATAGATGATCACCCGGCCGTAAAAATCAGTGGTCTCACCGAACACGATTTTCAGAGCGGTCGTTGGCTCCTCCGCGGGCAGTGCAAAGGATTGCAATTCGTGGTCATCCTCGGCCTCGATTTCTTCTGCTTTTCGCCACCGTGCACCTCCGGTCTCCCCCTCTTGCTGTTGCGCTTTGGCGTACACCGTAATTTCTTCGGCGGCGAAGCCGGCCTGGAACTGCAGGCCGAGCTCCAAGGCGCGGACCGTTCGATTCGGATGCTTCCCACCGCCGCTAAAATCAACGACGAGAAAACTTTCCTTCTTGCCGTTCGGACTGCCCTCTGAATTCCAGCTGCTGAGGAGGTCGTCGCAATCCAAGGCCTTCGCGGCTCCGTGAAGTTTCGTGTTGTTCTGGAGGACCGACGACGCTCTGCGCAGCAACAACGATGCAACGAAACGCAGAGAAACAACACGGCACAATCGGAGGGAGAACGGACACGGTGGATGCATCGTGTTCCATCAAAAGGAATGGTATCAGAGTTTCCAGCGTACAAAGAGGTGAGTGCATAGGATTCGGGCATCGAGTTTATTCACTTCTTTCCAAACGCAAACGCCAACCCCAATTGTTCGATTCCAACCACATTCGGCAGGGTCCTTCCGACAGACCGCAGAACAAAATAGCATCGACGAAAAGCACCACTTACTTTGCCGTAGTTCCAGTCGACGGATGACTCAACAAGACCAAGCCATCGTCTCTTTTCTTGGTCATTGTGCACACGATATAGCGAGTTGTTACCGTACCGTTAGGACAGTGAACAAAGGAGTCCCTTTTTGCCGACGAATTTGACAGTTGACGGTTCCTGTTCCTGAAATCACTTTTTGTGTTGCTATGGTTTTCTTTGTGATATCGTACTACGGTACTCTTAGTCACCCCTGCTCTTAGTACGAGTACATAGTACTACGTACTCGTACCGGTAGTATGTGATCAAGATGTGTGGATGTTTTCGTTTTTGATTGATGGGGGGCATATCTTGAAAGCTAACTCTGTACCTATGAGGCGGTGTCATCATTTTTCCCATCCACTCGTGCGCTTGCGAACACAATGCGCGCGTAAATCGTAAATCAATTGTTTTGAAAAACATTCCGCCCTTCTTACAACTCTAAGCTTCACTGTAGATGTGCCACCGTACGATCCGGACATAGGAGCTAGTCTTGGAAACAATGTCGGGCGCGCGATCACCAGTAAATAGCGAGTAATTTTGATAGTTTGGCGACAGGTCGGAAGTTTTTTGAAAAGCATCGCAAAATTGCCACCAAAGAGGCCGAGCGAATTGGGAGTTGGTTTTTATGTTGCTTCATCACGATACCGGTACAATGATATTTTGAAGGTCGTTCTTTCAGGGCACTCCGAACCGACACTCCCACGGCATCATCAAATCCACCCAACAATTCATACGGAGTACGAATAGTGTGCCATTAGACACTGTCTTTCTCAACAAGGACCATCACCCATTATCCTTCCACTATCGATTGGTGAAACTCATTCTTCCCACAATTCAAAACCTTCGAGTGCATCATCCGACAAGACTTTTAGAGATATTTCTTTCGAAAATGCCGTCTCCTTCGGGTTCCGGGGTCGCTCTGACCATTCTTCGATTCTGCCTGAGCACACTGCCTTTTCTTGCGGTCCTCTCTTACTTGCTTTATATGGCTGTCCAGCGAGGCTACGATGCAGATGCTGATGCAGGTGTAGACGACGGCAATGCCGACGCGGAAACCGACGCTCTGTTCAGCCTCATGGATACAACCATCGTCTTTCTTTCCTTCCACGTTGCTTGGACCATGTTTGCCACGTACCTGCTCGTCTTTGTTCCAAAACGCCGATACCTGCTCGATCGATACCTGAGAGAGGGCGAACCGACACTGGGTGACGTCATTGCCGAATCGGCTTCGAACAAGAAACGGATGCGACTGTTCTCCTTTCGAAACTACGGGCTTGTGGTCTATGGCCACCCCACGAAACTGGATCCACCCGTGTTGGTTCGGAAATCAGTCCGGGTCTTCCAACCCTGGACGAGGGAACGGGTCACGATTTTGCGTCTGCCAAACCGACCCCTCTCGGGACAAGCCAAAACGGACATCGAGATCGATCTAAGCCAGATGAGATCGGAACGAGATACCACCCTCTGCTACATTTCTACCTTGTCGATCTTTTGGGTTTTGTTCTCACTCGGAGGTGCGGCCTTTTGTGTCTACCAGATGGGCGAAATCGGGGACGACTACCTGGTCGACAACGAAGACGCGAACCTGGCGAGGCGAATTTTTCTGTTCGTGGTAGGAATCAATCCGTTTTTTGCATTCGTTGTCAATGGCATTCGGTATGCCATGTACTACAACTGGATGGTTCACTGGGGTGCCTCCGTGGAAGACGAAAACGAGGCACGAAACATCAAAACCAACAACTGGTGCATGTACAACAACGACGAGGAGGCGTCGTTTGACGGGTCGGACCAAATCGGTTACAGCATTCTTGGGGAGGATCGCTCCTACGCCGGAACCGTCCCGAGCCACACCCGCTCCCTGGCCCCGGTTCGGCCCGGCGAGACCCATCTGACCGTGTCCTCGGTAGAGGAGGACGGCACCGCGCTGCGGGTGCTTCCTTGGACGAACGCCTGAGGAACCTTGCTGGCAGGACTGGATCGAATCGTTCTCTCGGTTTGCTAGAGGATGACGCCGTCGACAACTTTGGTGTATGTATGATGTATATTACTGTGGAAAAAGTCCATTGCTTTCGCCAACAAAGTTCGTATCTATAACGCATAAAATAAATATTTGAATATTTATTTGAATAGCACACCTCACCACAGTAATCTTTGACATATTTATATTGATACTGACAAATGGTGCATGCATAATCTGATTCTCTACAAACATTGCATTGGAAAATGAAGATAGATTACCGTTTCGAAATATTGTATGTGCTGAAACTCAACTAGTTTTATGTATTAGCTCTGGAAGTTATTGCAAATTGGAGTCAGAGATCTATTTCAAAAAGGTTACAGCGTCTAGTGAAACAAGACAAGTTGCTAGTCACACACCCAGCGTTCCCATTTGAGAGATCAAAGAACATTCATTTTACAATGCGACTTTCTCAATGAATTTTAAATTGTCCGATTAGAAACGAACTGAAGCCTCGAATTACCATACATGTCTGGTTTTTGAACGGCGCAAAACATACCCTTGGACTCCGAATCTCTAATTACACAGTCTCGGTATTCTATTCTTTCAGTGTTGTTTGGTTCCTCAAATGCACACCACAACGCGCATGAATGCTCTATTGCTTTGACGGTTATTGCCTCAAATTCCTAGATAATTTCTTAGATAGGTAGTCCGATGTCGAATCATTGTATGTTGCCGCAGCAGTCACAAAGCACGCCTCGCTTGAATGGCACAACAGCACTCAGAACGTACATCTCCTTTCGAAGCAAATCCCAATGCTCATGCGTCGCTCTTGAAATACTGCGGCAGTCACAACGCGCAAACATCTTGGAAAGGATTTCGGATGGATATCTTCTTCGTGTTTCTCCGGTTAAATACAGATCTATCGTGGGAGCATATTGCAGTGCAATGCCATTGTATCTATCATTCAGTCATGAACTGCACCGATCTATGCGTTACTGGCTTTTCACAGCATTACTAAAATATAGCAACAAAACATTTAATCTCATATTTTCGAGTTTTTAGCCCGGGATTCGTAGAAATTTAACTTTCACTATTTCACATAGTTTCCTGGGTGACACCAAACAATATTGCTGTCTGGCACAACTAAGCATGAAAGTGAATCCAATCCGATCCTAGAAGTCAAGTGTGGCAACTCACACTTCATCAAATGTAAATCGCCCAGATTTTTTTTTGGCATGGGACTTTAAAGCCCAAGCCCGAGTCCTATCCTCAAGTCGTGTTTAAGCGTAACCTATTTTAACGCCAGAATTTATCACCTATTTGAAACACAAACATAAGCATGGCGTGTCGTTTGTGCTCAACAACGGCTCGGAGAAAGCATAATTTTTCTCAAAAGGAATCAATGGACCTACATCAATATTTAACGACCTTGCGCCTGTTGTGGAGTTCCCGGCCTTTGGTTTCCTCCCTGGTATGAGAAACGTTGTCTCTTTTCCGCCGGCTTGAGAATTTGGAAGGAACACATGAGTGTCTCATCGACGCTCATCATAGCTCCGGCGTTGTCAAATTCACCGCAATAATTGGGCGCCGAGAAGAGAGTGACCAACTGTCTTCTAGCGAAGAATTCGTACCCATCTTCGACGACCTGGTGAGCACGGCAAATAAGGTCGAGATCGTGTTTGTGAAGGAATTGTGCAACAATGTCCTCCCCGAAGGTGAACGAAACACCCCTATCGTTTTCGCCCCATCCATCGATTTCCTTGTCGGGATCCGACCAAAGAAGATCGCACAGGAGACCGGTATCGGGCACGTCTGTGGGTCGGACGATCCGTTTTACTTGGTCGAGATTTGTGAGTTCGGGACTGAGTCCACCGTGCATGCAAAATATCTTCTCGTCAATAACAGCGGCGCAGGGAAGACAGTTGAAACAGTCGGTGAATGTCTTCCAGAGTTTGATTCCGAACCGTCGCTTGCATTCATCGTAAAAGCCGTAGATGCGATTGATGGACGCACATTCGTGGTTCCCACGTAGGACAAAGAAGTTCTCTGGGTACTTGATCTTATACGCTAACAACAAGCAGATTGTTTCTAAACTTTGCTTTCCACGATCCACGTAATCTCCAAGGAAAATATAATTAGAATCCGGAGGGAAGCCACCGTATTCAAACAGACGCAATAAATCGTAATATTGTCCGTGAACGTCACCACAAATCTTGATTGGAGCCTCCAATTCCAGGAGCATGGGTTGCGAGATCAACAAATCACGAGATCGGAGGCAGATCATTTTGATCTCGGCTTCGGAAAGATCCACTTGCTTCCCAGGCCGGGCACCGCGGACGCTGAAAGAGGAATAGAAATAAACTGATGTTAGAAAAGGTCGATGCAGTGAAAATGCATTTGTTTGGAAAGTAGAGCATAGCATTACACCACGGAGGTTCTTGTCTATGATCATCTCCAATACCAGAATGCACACAGCGTGTTGAAATCCATCCTTCTGTCTTCATGCACATGTCGAATCCAATCTCGTGGTTGAAAAGATGTTATACGTTTCTCAATAAGGCATGAAGTAGAGCACATTGCCCCAACTCGAAGTTGGTTTTTGATACCTGAGGGAGTCCGTTTCAGTCACTTTCGTGACTCCATTGAACAATACGAATAGCTCAATCGGCTGGTTGTTCACCTCCAAATCGACTAGAGACTTCACCATGAATTCAGGAAGACATGGTACTGTAGCAGGTCGTATCGAAGACTGGCATCTTACCTTAGAAGTTTATCGATGATCACATCCACAGGGTCACTGAGCAATGCAACCTGTCCCGGTCCGCCATTAGCATCTGCGTTCGATGGAGCATCCGACATCTTTATTTTTATTTTGTATTGATCCTTGACCTAACTACTTTACTCCAACAACACTAACTATGTTTGACTATGCTAAATAGAAATATAACACTCTGGAAGAACAAGGAATGTATCGACAGAAGACAGTTCTTACGGTTGTACCGGAGTAGGGAAGAGACAAACTGGCTTGTGCTTGCAGAGATGAGACAGTGAGCGAGATGTCGCACCTACCGTAGCGTAATGTTTTGCGAACTGAGGAAATTGGTTCGTACCGAAGGTACAACGCTTTTCACTGAGATCGCTGCGTTAAAATTTTCCTACCGGTAAGTTTTGTTGCTGGTAGAAAAGGGCTGCTCGTACCCTTCTACGGGTTAATGTACTTCCAGGGATGTAATCTTTTGTGTTAGTTGCAATAACGCAATAAATTCCTTTGTTCTTTCATGCGCCCGCGTCGGCGCCGACCGTGAGAGCCACAAATGACCCTGCACAAACTTTACTGGACTTCCTACCGTAGCAACTCGTAATCGTACGAAGTTACGCACTTTTGATACGACAGCGAAAAACTGCCGTAATTTTTTCGGTACCTACAGGCAAGGTACCGCTACAAGTACTCGTAATAAAATCCTTTACATGGACTGGCGAGGACAGCTGCGCTGGGGCATTTGACTCGACATTAATTTTTAGTAATACCACTCTACCGGCACTGTACTTACGGTACCCTAACATAGTACAGTATGTAATCATAAGAGAGCTTCGTACGGTATTTTAATTCAGTTAAAACCAAAAAAGCAACAGCAAAAAGGGATATTATTAAACGACTCATTCGACTCATTTAATTTTGAAAGAAAATGAAATCGACGAAAGTAGCTCTCGTACGAACTCGTGCGATACGTACTTCACTCGTACTCGTACTCGTACCTACTCGTACTGACGTTTTCTGGGAAAGCGTTCAGTTTTCAGCAAAATTAGGGCTACACCAGCCGTGGATCCATCGATTTCCACCAGAAAGAAAAACCCCACTCCTCTCCGACGTATCATCCCATTGCCATAGACACTGCCACCGCAAGATACAAACCACGCGTAGGCACATTCGATCACTACGAAAAGAGATCGCTCGACAACTATACGTTGTGACGAGAGGAGGGTATCTTCATCTGCATGAATACGACATCTGCTAGGGCAATTGCTTCTCGGATTTCAAAACGAATACAAACACATTCCTCGGTCAACATGAATCTTAGGTATCATGCGACATTGGGAGCTGCTCTTGTAGCGACTTCTTCTGCCTGGACGTCTCCATCGTTGCTATCGATGAAACGATCCGTGCACCACGGAATCAACCGAGAACAACCGTTTCTTATCCACCGTGGATTCTCTACCGGGAATGGCGTATCGACAACCACTACTAGCCTTGCCTCGGCGCTTGCGGCCCCATCGTCGTCGGATGCAAACACTGCAGGACAACCCGTCGCCACGGGGTCCATAGTGAACGTCTTTCGTGGCGGGCTTGTGGCAGCACGGATTATTGACGACGATCTCTCGAAGGTCAATGTATCACTGGAGGTGGACATTCCAGAAGTGGTGGATCCGTCGTTATCGGTTCCGGACGAAATGAAATCGAAAAAGAAGTCATCGGAAGACGCTCTAGGTATGCAAAACAAAAATCAATAAGAAAGAAAAATGACAGGAATAGATTGAAAGGATGCAACGACGAGGAATAGTTGTGGTATGAAGTGTTTCCGTCGAATCAAAAACAGTGGGGACATGCTTTTTGAGTCGACGGCACCTGGATACATGTGATTGCGACCGGGCTAATGATTTCTCCTTTTTACAAATGTTCTTACTACAGGTGGTGATTTGACTGGTCGCGAAGTACTCTTTGGTGATGGCACGATAGGAATTGTAGTGGTGCACAGACCACCAATGGTTTTTGTATACAGAGATAGCGACGATTCGAAAGTAGAAGAGCCGTCCGTAGAGGGGGCTGTCACTGTGTTGGATACGTTGTATACCCTCAATGTTCCGAAAAATCTTCAACGAGTCGATTGTTTCGGTAAATCGGTGGTAACCGTAGGGGAAGACGGAACGATCTTGAATCGCCCCATCTTTGCACCTATTCCTCAGGTGAAGGACATTTCTCTCATCAATAAACCGCTCATAACGGGTGTAACGATGTTTGATGCTCTGGCACCGATCGGAAAGGGACAAAACATGCTTCTGATTGGTCACGATTTGGAAGACATGAGACGGTATGCTCTGGACATGGTGTCTATTCAAAAATCGAAAGGAATCAAATGTGTGTATGCTTCGAGCGGTGACAACGAAAACCAAAAAGAATTGAAGAGTCTTATGGAGTCTGCAGGAGTAGAGGAAGACGACATCATTTTGGTGTCTTCAGAAGAAAGCAACAAAGACAACATGGAAGATGCTTCGGACGCTGCTGAGGGAATCGTTACTGCTGCAACGGCCTGTGCTATCGGCGAGGCGTACGCTTTGGAGGAGGGAGTGGATACTCTTGTAATCGTAGACAACATCAACAAACACAAAAGTTTCTGGGACATTACGACACGAAGTTTAGTTGATGTCTTCGGAGTTGATGCAGTGGTAAAGGGAGACCGCGATGGTGGTGCCTCCAGTGAAATGCGTGCATTTTTTTCTTCTTTGGTTCAGCGATCAGCACAATACAACAAGAGCCGGGGTGGCGGAAGCGTGACCTTATTGCTCTTGCAAAAGATCCCCGCGATGGTCGATGAAAAAGACGAGAGCGATCTCGTGTTCACACCGGATGATTTCGAAGGGAGCCCAGCCAAGATTCGAGAGCGTCTTGATCTATTGGTGAAGAAAAATATTCCGTTGACGGCAGCCAATCTTCGAAAGATCCAAATCCCGGTCCCATCTACCGCAGAGGGCATCAGACGTCTTGCCCTTCAGCACGTGGACGATTTAATAAGCATGTCCGACGGGCAAATATGGTTGGACGAACGACTTCAAAACTCGGGAAGGAGTCCCCCGATGGACTTTCAGCGAAGCATTACGAGAATCGGAATCGGAGCAGACACGCAGTCGCGAGCGGACGCCGCCGCTATGCGACGCGTCGTCGAAGGGCTTCGGATGGAACTCTCACAGGCAGAAAGCATGGACGGAGCCGATTTCGATACGAATGCATCGAAGAAGCAGTTGAGGAATGCCCAGGCCTGGCTCTTGGCAATGCACCAGCCACCCACGTCGGTTGCCCGAACACTCTCCGAATCGTGTGTGGCATTGCTAGCTGCTTCGTCGGGTGCGCTGAACGACAGCATCGACAACGGGGTGTTAGCGGGTTCGGAGGAAGGCTCACGGTTGATCGAAGGCTTGCTGGACCATGTCCGCAAGACCGTACCCGACAGCCTCACCGAAATCGACTCGACACTTGACTTCACTGACGAGACGAAAGGATTGATCGAGGAAGCCATCAAATCATACGTTAGTCAAAACTAACTTTTCACTTGGACGAGATTAGATTAGAACGTTAGATGTAAGTTTCTACCAATCTACCAATACGTGTACACCGTGGTGGGAACATGGTCTTCAGATATTAGTATATCAGTGCTGAACCCCATGGAATTGGTGTCGTAATCGAGGAATGCCTTTAAATAATAGAAAGTGATGTGAAGCTCTTATTAATATGCACTCATTGATAAACAGTTCTAGAGTGCTTTTCTGAAAAAAGAATTCATCAGAAAAACACAACTAATTTTCCATCAGAGAAATAGAATTTGAAACAAAGACCACGTATTCACGTGACTGAATGTCATTCACGCAGCCGATAACTCTAATTTCAAACTCTAAATAAAAATAACTGTTGGTGATGGGTGTAACGAGTGACGACGCGACAACGACTGTTCGACGTCAAAAAACATTCAAACATGCCCGGAAACGAACGAAGGAAATTTTTAGGTGCCGATGATGCGAGAACAGAAACATCGATGCCTTGCAGTCGATCGAAAATCACGGTAGGCAGTCCTAAGGTTTGGTACTGACCATTCAGACGACTCTTTCAAGTATTTCAATTTGATCAGTGTTGCGTACTAAAAGATCGTACGACGTTCCAACCACAACCACCGCCCGAGTTGTTCGAGAATGAGGCTTGCAGCTGCGTCGTGTTCGCGTCGCAACGCATCGCAGCGGCGGTTCTGCCGTTGCCTGCTGGTGTTTTTGTTTGCCCTTGTTGCCCCGGATTCCTTCTCGGGATTCCTGCCGATGCCATTCTCGACGACGGCTTCGCCATCGAACGGACGGCTCTTCGGCCTGGTCCCCGCTGCGTCCGCGTGGGAGTGGACGGACTACATCGCGGGAGGAGAGAACAGCGGTGGGGCCAACACGCTGACGGACTCGGAGATCTCGGACCTCCGCGTCCGGGACATCAAGCGGCGGCTGGCTCGCTCCCACGGGTATGCCGCCGATGAGCTGGCTAGAATGCTGGACAAGAAAGACCTGATGGCCGCGCTGTCCAGGGAAGAAACGAAAGTGAGAAAGAAACACCGGGGCCAGCAGCAGAGAAAGCTCTTTTGGAGAGGACTGTTCGTAGCACTCTTGTGTGTGGTAGCCGTCGTCGGGTGGCCGCTGTGGGTTCAGCTGTCAGAGGTTATGGCGGTCAACTGGCAGGTGTATTACGACCGAAAACGGCACGAGATCAGCCAGTGCGTGGAATTTCGCAGTGTCAAGGGATCGTTTGGGGTGCTCTTGCTAGGAGTCCTCGACGGCATTCGGTTCTGGCTATCGATGACCGTGCTGCTCTCGTGGGTGCTTCCATCAGAATCCCCCTACCGCAGGTACATGTTTCCGATCCCCTCCCTCCCAATCCGGCCGGGGCAATTCATGGGGGACAAGATCGCCAACGGACCCATGGGCAGATACGGGATCAACGCGGCCCCGATGGCGATCACCTGGTCCATGGGCTTTGTGCGGTCGAAAATCGAGTACTGGACGGGAAAGGCACTCTCGGCGTCGGCCAAACGGAGGAGGAAGGAAGCCMGATCGGCCGAGACCAGCGAGGAACGAAAGGCCCGCAAGGCCGCAAAGAAAGCCGCCAAGCGAGAGGCGGCCGAAGAACGGGAACGGAAACAGCAAGAGGCCTGGAAAGCAGAGATGGAGAGGCGGAAAGAGATGGCGCAAAAGGCGTCCGAGCAACTCTATGGCAACGGCAACAGGCAACCGGCGAAAGAAGAACCCGAAACGGAAAACGAGCCCCCGACAAGTAACGGTGACTACGACGACGCCAAGCGGGAGTTTGAATCCGACATGGACGATATCAATGACTTAGATTAAGCTACGTTTTATGGTTATGTAATGCTAAAACTTTTGCTACGAGAATATCATTGTCGAGGCTTACTACACGTTTGCGACGATAGCTTTTTTTCTTGCGCACCATGTCCTTGTCAGTCCCTGTTTGTATTCTCCATCGTTTTTTTTTTCGGAGATATTTTCCAACAAAACCATGCCGACTATCTATTTTTCGTTTCGATTGGAACCGTGAATGTGTGGCTGCAAACTTTCGTTTCCCCCCGCCCGTCACCGCAAGCGATAGTCGACCGAAAATGCGGATTTGTTGTGCTTTCCATCGACCGAGATGGAAATGGCAATGTCCAGATCTCTTCTGTTTTTCTTGTTTGGTTTGCACGCAATGTCGCCCGCTATCCTTTCGCCGTCGCAAACTACCAGGTTCTCGGGCAGATAGAATATGGTTTGCTTCCAATGGGTATACCGGCAAAAGGGCGAGGTGGAGAATCCGATCGGTTTGTGCACCTGTGTAAAGGCGCACTCAAAGTAAGCGACCAATGCATGAACGTAATCGTTTCGGTTTGCCGTCAGTTCAAACGATGCCGCGAATTCGACGTCTTCCTTTCGACACGTCAATATGTCGAGGTGCAATATGGGGACGGCGTCCGACACAACTGCTTTCGAATCTACCACGTCGACCACCGGTTCTTTCAGGGCAATGTCTTTGATGGGAGTCATGTCGAACCCGTACACGTTATCCCAAAACTCGATCCGGTCCCGTTTCACCTGCCCGTCTTCCAGCGCGGATATATACATTACGGCCTTGTCCGGAAAAACAATCCCCGTCCCGTCTTTCACCAGCCACTTGTCCCTTGCATAGATGACGGTGTCCAGCATCGATTCGTACAACAAGAAATACCCCATCCACTCGCTGACAATGACGTCGACTTCCGGCACGGGGAGCTCGATCTCTTCGATCTTCCCCTGGATGACGGTGATCTTGTCGCCGAATCCGTTTCGCTCCACGATTCGCCGTGCCTGGTGCGCGATCGACGAGCAGTCGACGGCGTACACGTGCCTCGCGCCCACCTGCGAGGCGAACATGCTCAGGATCCCGGTCCCGCAGCCGACGTCCAGGACGATCTTGTCGCGGAAGAGATGGCCGTTCTGCTTGATGGCCATTTCGTAGGTCCGGGTGCGGACCTCGTCCTTCAGCATCTCTTCGTGGATCGCGTGGTGGGCGTAGGAATCGAAGTAGTAGTCCTTGCTGGTGCGATCCGGCTCGCCCTTGTCGCCGCCGCGGTGGTTCGGGTCCTCGCGAGCGCTCCTGTGGCTGTCGTCGTTGCTGCTGTTGCCCGCATTTGTTCCGATCTCCGCTGCTGACTCTTTCGTTTCGTTCCGAGTCGGGTGGCTTCCATCGATGTTATCATCGCACGGTAGTTTGATGCTCGCGTCCGATTCCCTCGCGGGAGGCAAAGGAGAGTCTGCAGATCCCGGAGCTTCCGACTGTTCCGTTTCTTGCGCGGAACGGGACGCCGACGAAGACGTCTCTGTCGAAATCTTGTCGTTCGTCCCTGGCTCGGGGAGCAGTTGCCGCCTCTTGGCGAGAGGTTCGTCCGTCATGGCAGAAGAAGAAGAATTACAGCACGGGGAAAATAGTGGATCGTACGGGAAAACGAACCAGTGGATCGCAGGCTCTCTGCTTTGGATTTKGATTTGGATTTGGAATGGCTCTAGAGCTGCGTTGGGTTGCGCAGAGCATTTTTATTTCACAACCGAAAACCAACGATTTTCACACATGCTTTGTGCATGCAGCGTTGAAGGGGATTCTTGCGAAAACCCGAAGGCAGTGGTCATAAAAAGAATTGATCGACCCCGCTTGACTTCTTGGAACAACTAACGGTCGCCGATCTCCGGTCTTTTTTTCGTGACACGATTCAAACTGTTTGTCGTCCATACACGAGTTCAGTTCCATCACAAAGCTTGGTGAGAGGATGGGAAAGTATAAAAAAAGAATGCAGGACAAGAAGTTACTACTAGAATGAGGATACAGTCTGCTGCAAAGTCCAAAATAATTCAGTTTCAATAAACCTCTTTCATTGTTTCTTGTTGCAGCCATAGTAGTAGTAGAAGAAGAAATGCTGCCACCACTGCTGGTGTTTGTTGCTTTGCACAGTGAACAGCTGTGGACAAACCCTGGTGCCATCAATTAGTACTAGTACTAGTAGCTAAAATGATGTTCATCCCAAACACGGCTTTGTTTGATGGACTACTCTAAAGAAGTAACTTGCTTGTGATGTGGTGACTCTACTAGTAGTAATGGTGGGAATACTAACAACAAGAACACAAGAACAAGCTGCCAATACTACTGTGAAAGTTCTTGGAGACGACAAGCATGATGCAAAACGGGGCATGATGCAAAAAGGAGCATTCGATTTTCCCATTATTGTTGAGCTAGTAGTGCACTGGTAGTAAAGGTGATATGTGCATGACACCAATTGGGGGACAGAGGAAGTGTGTGGCAAGTACAGAGTACCACAAAGTATAATACTAGTAGTAGTAGTATTACTGATGCAATATGATGAACACAGTGCCACCATACAGGTGGAAATACAATGGACTTGCATGCAAGGTATACAGTGTTGTATATTTTCAGTTCGTTCCTGGTGCTCTTGGTCAAAAAGCTCTACTATTCAGAAAAGATAGAACTGAAACACTGCAAATGATATTAGTAGTACTGCTGTGTATTACAACAAGGAACCAATCCCCGGATTTGTCACGAAGTGAGGGCTTTGTGACAGTCTCCTCCAGCGATCGTGTCCATCGTTGTAAAGCAGAAATTTGCTCTCCCAAGTTCCTGGCACTAATCAACAACGAACATCTCGTTTGGTGGCTATTTACGGGTTGACGTTAAACCTGCGTCGTCGAGCCACCAAACCGATCGCAGATCTGTAATCACACTACGTTTTTCGTGCATCAGCAAACGGTGGTTGCGAGGTTTGGGGTGCCACTTGTACCGTACGAGTGCTTGCGACTAAACCTGAAAAAATCCTTTTTGAGATCTATCGTATTATTTTTTGTTTACTTTATTTTCACCACTTCTCTACCGTAGACTGCAGATGGGGCAGCTCAAATACTTTTGAAATAGATACAACACGGAGTCCACGACAAGAACACAGACGAACAATTAATGATGATTCTGCAGTTACGACAACCGACAAACACACCACCTGTGGCAATCCATAAACAGGAACCAGTAACAACACCAAATTAAACAAGCAGGTTTGATGATGACGTGGCTTTCCTTGGGTCTAAGGCTTTGTCGGCAGTCGTTGGTTTGACAATAGCATCTTTGTCTTCCTCTAGCGAATTCTCGCTGCTCCTGGTGGATGCTACAGAATTGCAACACGAGTTGGGCAACAATGATTCCTTCAGTTGCAGAGCAATCATGTCTGAGTCGTACAAATCGTCCGGGGTCAATTCTTCCGAGCATTTCCGCTTTCGTTGCTTGCACTGGATATCCTCCGAGAAACTAGAAGAAGACGGCAACATGGTGCGACAGTACCATTTCCGAATGCGACACTCTATGAGACCCTGCGCTCTGACGGCCTTGACAAAAAGAATCGCTATTACATGAGAGATAGGCAATCGATTCTTTTCGGTAGTAGAAGAAACAGAGCAGCAAGATGATGACGCAATCGAACTCGTGTCTTGGTCGTCACTGGGCTCTTCCATATCAGAGTAGCTCGTCAAGTCCTCCTCGTTTTCTGTAGCGTTTGAAGAAGAATCATCGGTTGGTGCGGTAATAACACTGGAAGGAGAAAATGGTTGCGATTGCAACTCCTTGCTCAAACTCGCCACAACTGCTTCCCCCTTAGCAGTCGAGACCTTTCTTGTCCCAATAGACACGAATAAGCGTTGGATTTTATTCAGACATTGAGCAATGCGATACATGATTCGAAAGATGAGAATGAACACAAATTCCACCAATATCAAACTCGTTGGACGGACGTAACATCCCGACAGAAATGAATCGGGCTTCTGTTCGTATTTTCGGTCTCGATTAGCATGATCTCCCTGATACAGACCGTAAAACTCTTCTGTGATAGTGGAATAATTGTCAATCATTTTCCGACAAACGACTCTCTTTTCGTATTTGAGACTCAATTTTCGTCCGTCTTTCGACATAGCCTCTCGTCTCGATTTGTCCAAAACCAAGGATAGAGTCCCCTTGTAGTATGCTTCTGCGTCGCCGTCTTTGCATGCGAAACCATTCACACCGTGCTGGACCAAGTGGCCAGAACAACCGCCATCGACGACAACTGGTAGTCCCGACGCGGCAGCTTCCAGCGTGACATTCCCAAATGTCTCTACCGCAGAAGGAAACAAGAAGACATCCGAGGAGGCATAAGCTACAGCCAACTCGTCTCCCGACGCCCATCCCGCAAACACCGTATTGGGCAAAGACTTCATTTCGTTTTCCGAGGGACCCGCACCCACTATAAGGGCTTTGAAGGGGATCCCTTCGCGGGCTAATCTCCGCACTACGTAGGCAAATATATCGGGTCGTTTTTCCGGCACCAAACGACCAACCCAAGTTACAACAACATCGTTTGGAGCAAAGCCATATCGCGAGCGATAATCCTGGGATCTATGAGACGGATTGAAACGTTCTAGATCTACACCACGTCCCCATACTTTGAGCTCGGTAACGTTCTGCAGCCGATAGTGATCCTCCGTCATCAAATGTCTCCGGATGAAGGGGGTGGGCACGAACAACCTCTGCAAAAAATTGTATTGGTGACGTTCGTACCCCGCAAATATGTGCTTAAGCCAACCAATTCCTTGATAATGGGTAAAGTATTCTGGAATGTTGCTGTGGTATGTTCCCATGAGAGGTAGCTGCTTTTCCCGAGCATATTGGATCAGGTGCAAGCAGGTCACGTCCGGAACAGTGACATGAACGATCGTTGGTTGGAAGTTGTTTAATTTTGCCTTCACATCTTTTGATAGGGAAAAACCGATTTGGTACGAATTGTCATGATTGTTTGGATCCTGGAGGAAGGGAATCGGCATTGCATTGTCGAGAAAGATCACCGTTCGGTTCGGGTGTTTGTTCGGAAGGTGGCGGTAGCGTTGATATTCTTGATTTCCTTCCAAGTGCATATGGGTATTCTTAATGTTTCCAGAAATCGTAGATAAAATGCAAACGCTGTGCCCCTGAGCAAGTATTTCCTGCTCAATTTTTCTTAGCGTCAGTGTTACTCTGCATTTCATATTTTGTTATAGATCGGATGCATCCGGTTGTTTCGAGTTGTTTCGTTCAGTACAATGGATTTTTACACGCCATTTTTGGGCGGCAAGAATGAGGTGAAACAATGGTATAAAAAGAGACGAAAATAGCGGGAATGTTTCAATCAAGCGACAAGTGGGTGAGAAAAACGGAAGGGTAGCGTTACTCTTTCGTCCTTTGAGAGGCTCAGTGATTTCGGAACAAGGGTTACAAGGTACGGGACCAGGATCTACTTACCCATCGAGAACATTGTAACAAGTACAGTAAATTAGCACCCTGTGCCTTCTAGTTGATGGAAAATCCATCACTCACGAAATTCGGATACAGAACTGAAAGGCAGCCCTTCAGTGATTAACCGTCCTCGTATGATAGCAATGACGAGAAATTTCGATTGGATTAGAAGCCGGAAAGATATCTTATCCAGCTTTCAAGACTCTTTTGCGTTCAACTTTTCGACTGTGTTTTGTGTCTCTCAACCATTCTACGCTCCGTGGATTGTAACAGGGTTCTCGGAATAACCGTAGAGTCTTAGTGGAGGGATGCTCTGAAGTGAAAAGCAAGACTCAACGAAATTCGATGTACTGAGTCGAGGTAACAGTGCAGTACTCGTTCTGTACCGCGACAGATTCGCAATGCTATTTGCAACAGGAAAACGATATCTCGAAATAATTTTTTTCGAGGGGGATACGCTTCTTGAATCTCAAATTGTTTTGGCAGGTAGGGATCACGTAGACCTTAGTACTGATTTATTACTACCACAAGAGCAAAAAAAAGCAAGCTGGCCTTCTCAAAACCCACTGAGAATGCTTTGTTCTCCGTTGGACTCTTTTTTTTTTAAAAATAGCTCCCCAACCTGCTCGGCGAACTGAACGACTGGCCGCGCACGCTTTTCCGAAGAACATTCTGTTATTACTAAAGCCCGTCCATGCCGAATTCTAGTTGCAGTGGAACGCAATATACAGACAAGTAGAAAATAAATTGAGTGTAGTGATTGGCTGAATCGGTTTGTTATGATTGCTCTGCACGTGCCAGACCTCAGACATCCAGCGAAAAAAATGGAAGTACTCGCAGTTTGAGTAAAGTACTTTTGTGCGAGGTCCCGTAATTCTCGACTATCAGAAATCTGAACCGCAACACTGTGCACCTGTGTCGTATGAGTACGTATGTAGGTAACGGTAGAGTACAATAAGATATTATGGTAAGTGATACCGGGCAGCTTCTTCGAAAGAGCGAAAGGTGGACGAGGCGTGCCACGATCTGCACGGTCAAAACGAATGCTTGTTGAACAAGACTGAAATATCAATATCCTCTTACTCTTCTATCAATTGTCACAGTACCAACATGGCGAAAACCGTTGCAGATCATACCAAAAAAGTAGCACAATGCATTCTCAAAACTGCTGTCACCACGCTCAACAAATTGACTACTAGTATGGGAATTGCAATATCTCCAGCAAAACAACAAAGCACCCCCAGCAGCAGAGAAACCAAGGGTGCTGGTGGCTGCTGGTGGTGGTGGCAGTGCTGGTACTACTGCTAGTAGTAGTAGGAGTCACTAGTAGTAGTAGTAGCTACTAGCAGCCAGCAGCAATACTGGAGCAAGAAGGAGAGGAATAACATACTACTACCACCAAGCATACTATGTCACACAAACTGGATCTGTAGTATTCTTGTGTGTTTCACGCAGTTGATACTACCAAAGAAGTTTCAATGTCCAGCCTTAGTTTTTCCTGATTGGATAAAAATTTGGAAAAATCCTTCACAACTCCGTAGTACGACCAGAACATATTTCTGGAACGAGCATTATTTTACTCCAAATTATCATAGGTCAATGCTGGTGAAAGCATGAAAAAAACTGATCCCTCAGATGGAACTTACTCCTTTGTTAAAACTCTGCCCTTTGTCATGCCTCCCCCCTAAGCTAAAGGTAGTATTCTATCAAAACTGTCAAGGCTCACGAGATAGGAAAAACCAGTGTCCCATATTTTACAGTGCCAAATGAGACAAAATGTAAGGCTTCATCACGTCAACGAAACTACTCACTCATCTTAGTCTCAGCAAGAAAGACTGCTTCCAGTATTATATTTATGTCGGTGATGGGACCCACAACTTTAGTTTGTTGTTGTTCAAAACTTCAAAGGATAATGTTGGCGTTAGTCAGTGGTTTACTTTAATTAATACCCAAGATGGTCCATCTAGTGGCATGCCAGCACAGAATCTTGACAACGAAGTTATGTATAACCCTTTAGTTGAAGAAGTTGATGGTGCGTTCTTGATAGATTCTGCAATGGAATCTGTTGATTCTGATCTTGACGATGATGTTTTCTATGAACCCGCTCATCATGAGGAGACCTCTGACTCTGTTCTGGTGGTGGATGTGAGTATTCAAAACACCCTTTGATCATTGATTGTTGTTGCCACCCTCGACGAAGGTCAAAATGAAGTTAATAAAGATCATGAGAGACCACAATATACCCCTGGTTACCAAAAGGGAGCTACATCAATGGGCTATTGAATTGGAGAGGTTCCCTGGTTTTACCTGGAGTACTGGAAGCAGTTTGATCAAAACTTGCCAATCTGTTTCAGATGATTGATACCAAGCAGCTCATGAACTTTGTGGTGATGGTTTTGTACTGCAGCTTATTGAATGGTATTCAAGCAATGAAGTTGGTGACAAAGTAATCTACATAAGGTCCTTTAGATGCACATTGCAATCTCTTTTAACCAATTTTTCATTAATCAAAGAAGAATATTTATCTTTCCCCAATCAAAAGAACCCCACTTCACCATGCCGAGTTCCTGAATTAATGGCAGACTCCCTCATCTGTGAACTTCACCATGGCAAATGGTGCATTGAAACTTGGAAAAACACAAGAGAACTGACACGGGGAGTAGCAAAAATCTTCTCTTTTGGGTACACCCCTCGTATAAATCAGAAAGTGGACAACAGTGCAATGTTTGGTTCAATTGGGCTTATTTTTATTGCACCTCCTCAACAAAAGGGGAGAGTATCCCATGGACGACAACGGACATCCAGTTCTGAAGCAGTATCCCTGCCTGATACTTTGTTTTCTTGACATCAAGCAATCAATAGCTACTAGGCAATATGTTGGTAAGCACATTTGACCTTCACGTCCCTGGGTATTACGCAGTTGTCTGCTGTTTTCAGGACAAAGAATGTATCAGTAGCTGCAGGTCTGGAGCTAGTGGCTTATCCGTTGGCTTTGTAGGGAAGGGCACTCTATGTGGTTGCTTATATCTATTTCCATGCTCCAGCATTTATTCAGAGGTTGCCATTGTGCATAACAAAGGAACAACTGAGGAATATTTTGTCCTTGGGAACAGGGGTGAAGAATGGCTTACCCATTTCAACACAATATTGTCTGGAATGAAGGATACAGAACCCTAAAAGATCGTGTCAGACAAAAAATGACAGTCTTTTTTCCTTCCCAAGATCAGAAACTTTTTTTGGTTTTTCTCTTAAAAAATCAAATGATCAATGTATTAGCAATCTATCAGAATATGAATGTATGTAAAGAAGAATTTAAGATACTATAGTATTTTAATAGTTTATGATAAACAAACTTAGGTGCCGTCAGTCATCAGAGATATAATTGCTTCCTTGATGACTTCATCCTTGTCGTAATCCTCAGTTGTTTCTTTCAGCATTTCATCCGTCATAAATGATCAATACCATTTCATCTGCTTCCTTTTTGACAAGCACATAGCTTTTGTCATAAAAGCTTCCCATACTACAAGACTGTTGCATTCACTCTCCAAACTAAGTTGATTGTCATCTATGTCCCTCACTCATTTATGTTTCTTGTATCAAGCAAACTCCTCCTCCCAAAACCATGGGGAATGGGCACCTACCTTGCATTTGTAGAGACAATATATTTCTTTCATCACTCTCCATAATCTATCATCCTTCATTACCTTCCATCCGTTAAAGTCCCATGTGATATGACTACCAAAATCCCAACATTTGTTATCCTCCCCCCACTCCTCAACTCTGAAATGGCAGGTCGAAACCCTGCATTGCCCCAACGCGTACATTTCTTGACAACAGTCCTAGCAAGGGGGGAAAGAAAATTCCACCTTTTTCTGTGGGTATGTTTGCCCATTTGCATCCAACTCTCTTCTGTCAGATGATTTCAGTCCATTGCCAATGTTGTCGTAGCATTCCTTGTATTCAGAGTTTGTCAGCGCAGTATAACCACACAAAAGGTAGTACAGAATGATGCCCAATGCCCAAACATAAATGTCCTTGTTTATTTTATATCCATTGTTGTTGTACTTGGTGCATAGTACATACTTGGCCACATAGTTGACAGCCTTGTGGAAAATAATCCTTGACTCAATTTCGTCAAAATGTCCCATTCTGCTGTTAAGTAGTTGTTTCCTTGTGAGGTTGCAACCATTCAGATTTTCCAGTACCTTCAAGAAACCATTTTTTCAACATAAATCATCATAATTCACCGTTCCATAATGATACTGCAACGGATACGTACGCATGTACTGTATTGGAAGCATACATACTACATACGATGCTCCCTCGGAATGGATGGACATAACATTCCTACCTACATATCATAAGGTACTATTCATATATATCCATCATACGATCCATCGTACCAAGGATCCTAAGAGGTCCAAGATATCGAGAGGTAGATTACCTTGCGAAGAACAAAGATGTCACGAGTTCGGAATAGTAAGAACCCCGTGTAGATTCAGTACCAGCAGATCTACACAGGGTTCTAATCAGAACTCTGGAATTCTCGTGAACGTGCACAATAATCTTCACAATAATCTTAATCTTATAATTTTGATTTCATACACACTTAAACATACTAAGAGTACACGTATGTCGTGCACAGTAATTACTACCTGTTTGATGTGTATCAAATTAATCAACCCTAAAAAAATCACCGAATAACTGAATCGACCATGGTGAAAACAAATGAGAGCAACTCCTCTTCCAAACAACATCGATACTCACTGCACTCAAATCAATCATGTCTCAGCCTTGAGAATAACTTCAACAAAAGTGACCTTGAGAAGGTTACCCTTTTGTGGATCATCCAGCCAGAACAGAGACCACCGGGAGAGGAGCAAATCTAAGAACAATTCAAATCCCTGCTAAGAAGCTAAAAAGAAACTGCTCAGTTTTCTCCGGACAATATGGAGTGCAGGAACTATTCCATATTCAGGAAGACTTTGAGGAGGCAATAGATGATTTGGAATTGATGGACAGACAGATAGATCAGAAATGGGTAATGGTCCTGGCCCATTGACCAAGGCAGAACTGGAACAACATGTGGAAAGGTACTGACAGATTGAGAATAGGGAGAAACACCAAGGAGCAATGGAAACAGGCCCTCAATGCCTTCAGAGAATTCTACACACCATCAAAACGAGCCAGAGATAAGGCCATTGAATACCTACAATCAGATGCCATACAGAAGCCCCATGGAATCACATGCCAGCAAGCACACGCAGAAAGCATTCTCATTTGTTGCAACATGATAGCCAACCTCCTACATGGTATTAGGGATCCCCTGTCCGAGAGGGTGATCAAGGAGATTTGCTTTAAGTCCTTCCCCAGCGCTTGGCAAGATAAATTTATCAGTTGTGGGAAAGATATCCTCGAAGATTCAACTCAGCAAATAGTTAAGTTCATGACAGACCAGAAAGGACTCGCAGACAGGAATGAAAGGAACCAATCGAGGAAAAGACCAGCAAATGACGCAGGACATGGAGGAAGGAGTGGAAAGCAAAGAAGACAAAACAGCAACAGCAACAGTAACAGCAACTGCAACAACAATGACCAACAAAATGAAAGGCAGAATAAGATCAATGCAAGGCMCTGTAGAAAGCACAATGGAGAACACACCTGGGGAGAATGTCCGTTCAACAGGAAGGGTAACAATTATCAAGGAGACAGTCAGAGAAATAACAATAACAACCAAGGGAACAATCAGGGAAGCTCAAATTCAAGCAGCAAGACATATACACCAGGTACCTATACCCTCAATGAATGCAGCCAGCTAACTCAAATCCAACAACAGTCTCCATGCCAACCCCAAACTTATCAACGTACACAAGTGCAGAATGGGGGATCCAGTTCAAGTGGAGGTCCTCCTAGCCACGTCTCCCTACAATCCAACAGCAATGCAGGATCGACAGTCTGATTTCATGGACTCAATCATCAGTGGTGACAAGTACCAAATCCAGTAAAAGAAACAGAAGCCTTCTTTGCATTGCCTCTGACACCAACTACTTGCTCACCAATAGAAAGTCTTGAATTGTTGGGTCTTGATAATGAAGATGCCCTTAAGAATCCTACGACAAACACCTTAAGAGCTCTGAATCCAGATTTGCTTCCAGCTGTAATCCTTGTTTGCAAAACAATTCAAGACCTACCAACAATAACTACATTCAGAGTTCTTTTGGATAGTGGAAGTACTATGTGCCTGATTCACGAGCGTTGCCTTCCATCGGGAACAGTCCCCTTCAAGGATAAGGTCAGCTCAGTCACCACAACAGCTCAAGGAAGCTTCGATACATCCAAATATGTTTTCATATCCCAAATACAATTGCCCAAGTTTGGCAATGGCAAATACATAAGAGGAATCAATGCAAGGCTCTTCTCTGCTCCTTGCAACTATGATGTGATTCTTGGAAGAGCCTTTCTCCGAATGACCGGGATAGATCTCTTCTTTTCCAAGCACACCATTCAATGGCTAGATTCTTCCATAGAGATGAAGCCATCAGATCATTTTAATAATCCCCAGCAAGTGGCTGAAGCCATGTGGCTGGCAGAGGATAATGAACTCCTGGATGGTGGATTCCTAGAGTTTCATCTACTCCCAAGCTGCCGACAACAAGACTGCAGACATGCAGCCAGTTCGGACAGTTATTTAGCAGGCCCGACCAGCACTGCCAGAGCTGCTGGTACAGAGCTCAATAAAATACTGGATGCAAAATACCAGGGAGTGACTCCAAAAGAGATCGCATACCATCAGGAGCATATGAATGACTCAGAAAGACTAGCATTCCAGGAGATGCTAGCCAAACACCCAGAGTTGTTTGATGGCAAACTTGGCAGATATCGTCCTCACGAAAGAATCCGCATTCATCACAAAAATCCTATTTGGTTTGGATGTTGAAGTCTACTACATTGACGATATGGGTATCTGGTCTCGTGGGCCCTCCTTCTTCACTCAGCATCTTTCACTGGTGGATCCAGTCCTACAGCGATTAGCTGAAAATGGAATGAAATGCAACCCCTTGAATGTGAGTGAATGAGCTCTAAAATGTACCATTGCTTGCTTAGATTGTACTATTAGTAGTAGTAATAGTAGTACTAGTAGTACCACCATTTGTCTCCTGGTAGTACTAGTTCCACGTTGAGGTAAGTATCGTACCGTACATGCTGTACGGTACGACGATGATGACTTGTACAAGACAATCGTTGGCAAACTCGACCATCTCGTGCTTTTGTTTTTTGCCATTGTAACCATTCCCAGCACATTACTTCAATTCTACCAGCGTTGTCCACGGTTTACTTTTCATAACCGTTGAACCGAAAATGAAAGCGCCCTCACAGTTGTTCTTTCCTACAGTACGTACCGGCACGAAACCAATTACGAGTTCTACTGGTACTTTACTAACTTCACTGCCCAAAATGGAAAGTAAATGCGAAACTGGTAACATCTCCATCAAATAACAAGAAGTGAGACGAACTCGCCGTCTTTAGACGAGCGGGATGACTATTGATTTTGGAACACAAGAAGAAAGATCGCATTGAATCAGGTTGTTTGAATCAGCTTCAGCGACGAAGCGAAAATTGAGGAACAATTCCTGTAAACTAGCACCAAAAGGTCACTAACAGAGAAGAACAATTCATCCACTATTATAGCTGTGTTCTTTGCGCTTTCCTGTTTGGTACAACACGTCCAGTCTTTGGTTGTCGGAACCGGTACTGAAGGAAAAAGACAATTATGGAACCTGCTTCCGAATTACAGTCGTCTTCGTCGTCCTCTTTCTTACCAAAATCTCGGGCAGAAGAGACATTTGCGAATGCTGAAGCGGACGCAATCGAACGCTGGTTGACGTCTCCAGCAAAAACGACGACAACATCTACGGGCACCCCATCGCATGCAACTAGGCTACCGAAGACGACCATCACAGATATAGCTATCCGGAGAAGAAGGCAACTACAGGACGAGAAATATCAGCAGCAGCAATCGCTACCAACTTCACCGCAGCACGAGGAACAACAGGACGACAAAGCAGGAAATGCGACAAGTGTTTCTCCACGTTCCTCTCTACGCCGCAGCAAGTTACTACGGAAGCAGCGGGAACGACAGAGGCAATCACTTCAACGGAATCTCCCTGCTGCTACTGTGGAGAAGACCGGAAAAAACAAACCACCAGCGTATTGCCACCAAACAGCAGTCATGGCAATGAGAGCGATGGACAATGTCAGCCATAAACATTATCAATCTCATTCTCATTTTGCTGCGAAAGACCCCGTCACAGACGATACTTGTGACGGAAAGGAAACGAAAAACAGCACGAACATAGCAAGGGTTGAAGATAATGCGTTTTCCTTCGAGGATACCCATGATGTTACGACTGCTACTTCTTTAGAGAGTAATGACGAATACCTCCAAGACGACAATTTCCGCAAAGAAAGCTACAGTCGATCGTTTTGTGATTCTAGCAATGTAAACAGCAATCCAAAAGTTTCAAATTTTCTCCCCAATACAACTGCGAAGAAAATATCCCCAACGAAGACAACTCTATCCGTCGCGACAACCGAGGCGAGCGACCAAAAGAAACACCCGACCGTTCAACATTCAACGAGTGGCGTTATTATTGCCTCTCCAGGGATCGAAGCCATTCGACGCCGCCGCCAACAGCGACTGCAGCAACAAGCTGAGTTAGAAAGAGAAATGCGAGAACTAGAACGTGAAGAACAGGGACTTATAATGGCCATAAGAAGGGCAGAGGGAGCATCGACAGCGGCGGTCCCACATGACGAGGTTGATAAAAATCACAGAAAGGGCAGTGCCACCCCATATTCGTTCCCAGAAGCAAAACAATCATTCGACACGACTCCCGCACTTTCACCTCTAGCGAGACTACGTCAAACTCACAATATAGATAGCAACAGCACTACCGGAGGCAAACGTATTGTTTCTGTCTCTCCAACAAAAAAGATTCACTTGCTAAAACGACACGATGCTAGCGGCGGCGACAGTCCACTTTCGAAGACAGCCCGTCCTTTGGTAGGACAAGACGTAACACTTGTTGACGATCCTTCATCTACCGAATTGGACAGTACTGTGGGAAGAGATACTCTCCGTCGCCAGGAGGAGAACGCAGCAAGCTCAGAGCAACTCCAACTCTTACGGCAGCAATCATCGAAGAGAATCACAAAGTATAAGAGCGAAGGTGATCATGAACAACACCTTGAACAACAACAAAGATCATTCGCCACTGCCAATGGTTCGTATCTTCCAAATCCACCTCTCAGGAAACTGCATCCTTCTCGGGATATCGAGAATGAACACTCACCAAAGATAAATGAACAGCTGATAAGAGAAGGACAGCGGCAACCTGAAGGAGAAGACGCTAATTCGCAACCAGACCCTCATCGAAGGCCTAGAACCTATAATTCGCATCATCTTGATCACCTTTCGCAAAACGATAAAACCCAAATCGAAGTTTCGAACAAGAGTGTGAACACGGATAGTTTTGACTCGAAGGCCAACAAAAATAATACGATGCGCATCAAAGCAGCAGTTGCCAGATCGCGATTGAGCCGCAATGGAAGCAAAAGTAATTTATGCGACGATGCTTCTGGATACAATTTGATAAGCGACGACCCTGTGTTGAAACAACATTTTCAAAGTGCTAGTTTGTCGTGTTCGAGTGTGATCACTACGGCCACCTCCACAGTGAGCATCGCAAGTACCGGAGGCAGTTCCAAAAGCAACAACAGCCAATATACTTTCGAAAGTAACGACGGTGAAAGCAGCATCGATAGCTCCATGACTGAAGACGATACAACGGCAATGACATCCATTACCGAACAAGACGAGGAAAAAAGACTGCAAGCGATGAAAGCGGTGGCGAACGAGACTTCGATAGCAGCACCGTCGCCTCGTGATACGGAAACCAGTTTTGGTAGCCAAGCCGAGACGGAACCAATAGGTAATCTTTCGCACCGTCCCCCTCGGTTGGCAAAGCACCACCCCCAACACCAGTTTTCGGTACCAACACATTCTGGTTCCACGAATCACCTGAACACAGCACCAGTAACGATGAGTGCAGATAACTCGGGATCGGTACTGACTCGATCCGAGAAGATCATTCCTCCAATAGACAAAAATTCCATGGTTGTGAGGCTTGAAGGGAAAAACCGAAACCAGGAATCTTCGGTCGCTAGATACGGAAGAAGTGGGGAATCGGCAATGGCTTTGATTGTGCAATCGACCACTGGAACCGCCACCGGGGGTTCTTCCGCTATCACTCGAAGAACATCCGAGCGAGAGCTTGCGAAATCCAACTGGATCAAGCTTCACGTTTATGATCTAGTTGCGGACGACACACAACTCGATGTGTACGGATGCCATTTCCCTCTCGGGCAAGTTTTCAACGCTTTCAACTCGAGCTTGCATTCCATTGGAACAGGTGCCTACCACGTAGGTGTCGAGATCGATGGGGTTGAGTACGCGTTTGGTGCAAACAACACCAAGGATTTGACAGGTGTCTTTACTTGCACGCCGAAAAACTCACCGGGCTATCAATACAGGACCACTATCGACTTTGGACACCGGTTGGTGACGAAACGGTATGGCAAACGAGAAGAAGCGGTAGACGGAAGGGACGTTATTCGAGGAATGGCCAGGGAGTACCTAGGGCTCGACTACGATCTGCTCCGAAAAAACTGCTGTACGTTCGCCCGCGATGCCTGCATCCGGCTCTGCATAAAGGAGGAAGAAATCCCGTCGTGGTTCCACAACCTTGCGGAAGCGGGCGCGGCAACGCAAGACGCGGCGAACTTTACCCTGGCGCCCATTGCGCAGCTATTTTCTGGCGATCAGGTGGAAAGATTCACAGACTACCTGAACGAAACGCCTCTCGACAAGAAGGCTATACGGGATGCTCCCACGGAAGAGAGGAGAATGGAAGAGCCCATCGAGCACGGTGCATACCAATTCTGAGCTCTCCCAGGTGTTGTCATCTCGGTTGTGAATTGCAACAACACATAGCTACGCATCTTGTTTTCTTTTTTTCCAGTTTTAGCGTGTGGGTAGGTAGCTGCATACTAAACGAAGAAAGGCGAAGCAATATGAAAATTGCTCGCAGTGCCTAACATTGAGGGGCATTTTTGTTGTCATAAAATGGTTATGATACACTTATGGGTTACCTAGTAGAACAATAGAACGGCACGAAGGCAAGAACAATCTAGTTTGCTGGCATTTTTCAAATACATTAGTGGACGCAATTATTCTTAGTCTATTGAAAGGCTCCCCGAAACCATCTTCAACCAAACAACTTCGTTTCGTTTCGATTCGTTTCGTCTCGTCCCATTCACCCCATGGCGTCCAGGGCAGCGATGATTTCCGCAAATGATGGCCGCTCGGACGGGTCTTTCTTGGTGCACGACTTGATGAGCGCGTGCAGGCCGGGCGGGCACCACTTTGGGATCTCCGGCCGCTTGTCCCGGTTCAGGACGGCAAGGGCGCACTGGATCGCCGTCATTCCCTCGTAGGGGCATTCCCTCGACAAGAGCTCCCAGACGATGATCCCAAAGCTGTAGACGTCGGCCCGCTCGTCGTAGCTCCGGTTGGCGAGGACCTCGGGGGCCATCCACTGGACCGTCCCGCAGTTCGCGGTCATGCTGCGGGCCTGGGCCTTGAGCCGGCTGAGGCCAAAGTCGCAGACCTTGGTGGTGTAGCTCTCGTCGAGCAGGAGGTTGGCGCTCTTCAGGTCGCGGTGCAGAACGGGCGGGTGGCCGCTGTGGAGGTAGGCCATGCCGCGGGCCGCGCCGCAGCTGACCCGCTTGACGAGTTCCCACGGCCAGGTCCCCCTCGGTGGGATCGGCGCGGAGATTTCCGTCGTGGCCCGGAGGACGCTCCCGCTGCTCGTCGGCGGGACGCCGTGGTGGCTCGGAAGGTACAGGCTCAACGGCCACGAGCCGTTGGGGGTGCCGTCGGAAGCGGTGTAGGGCGGCATGAGGGGGAGCCGCAGGGAATCCCAGACGGAACCGTTGGCAGCAAGCTCGGTGATGATGGCGCGGTTGGGAGGAGTCATGCAGGCACCCATGTAGAGGCAGATGTTCGGATGGCGCATGCCCTTCAAGAGGTTGATCTCGGCCTTGAATTCTTCCAGTATGGCTTTTGCAATGTGGGTGTTCTGTGCCGATCCCGTCAGCACCTTCACGGCCACCGGGGTCCCCCTCCAGGTAGCCTTCCAGACCTGACCAAAGCCACCCCCTCCGATGACCTCCTGGAGCTGCAGCTCGGCAAAGTCTATGCTCGACTGGAGCGACTTTGCCGAATCCGTTGCCATGGTGAGGTTTTGTCGCTTGTGAACGATGCTCTTGCGGGGGTCGTCGCTCGGGATGGACACATCGGTGCTTTCCCCGGAAGCCGGGCGGTTCGAGGCGCTCGACTCGTAGTCGGGGGCCTCGCGCGGCTGGGACTGCGATTCCTCGTCGTCGGGGAGGCCGAAGGGATCCCCGACGACCTCGGTGTCGTTCCAGTGGGTCGAGTTTCCCGTTTCCATTTCTACCAGCCGCAGCTCGTCCAGGAGGATCGATCGCGGCGGGGGGCTGGCGGAGCGCACCGGGGGGGTCAGCCCAACGTCGAGAGAGCCGTCGGGGGGCACCTTCAGGTGCGGCAGAAAGGGGATGGTGGTCCCCTCCACCGCGCCCTTGCTTCCGGCGCAAGAATCGGCGACCTCCGGGGCCATGGGCATCAGGGCGGCCAGCTCCAGGCTCGGCTCGGAGCCGTCGCAGATGGCGATCGTCTTTCGGACGTTCCCGATGAGGGGGGTCTCCTGGAAGTCGGAGTTCCCCGGCGTCAGCATTAGGGATTTCTGGTGCAGGGCAGCGGAGGCGATGGAATCCCCGAGGACGGATTTCGGGAGCACCGGCGAGTGGTGGGAGGAAAAGGACCGGCTGGACCAGGCCTCGGACGCGGAAGACGCTTCTTGGTGCCCCTCGCCGCTGCCGTGGCGGTGGTGCTCCCCCCGGTGGCCCTTCGTGTCGGCGTCGGCGTTTTCGTTGTCCTTTTCGTTGTCGTTGCCGCTGTCGCCCGAGAGACGCCCGGCGTCTGCGATCGAGGCAAAGGACGAGAACCGGGACGCGGGGTCCGCCGGGAGGCGGCTGGCCCCGAGCTCGGTGGTCCGCTTCGAACGGCTTGCCTCGGCGGGTGCGAGGAGGACCATTGGATCCAGCGCGGTGGCCCCCTTCTGCGGCCGCGGCAGGTGCTGCCACCCCGTTCCCGAGGCAAACCGGTCCGGGGTGTGGGAGGGGGTCCGGAGCCTGGGCTGCGACAGCGGGTGGGTCCCGGTCCCCCTGCCGGGCGTCGCGGCCCGCGGCCTTGCACCGCTGCCCACGCTGCTGTACGAGCTCATGGGGCTCACCCCCCGCTGGGGGTGCTTTTTCCGCGCGGGGAACTTGTAGGTCGGGACGACCCCCGCCGCGCCCTGGGCCCTCGCGCCGGCGCTGGCACCCGCGGTGGTGGCAGCACCCGTTGTGGCAGCACCCGTTGTGGCAGCACTCGTAGTGGCAGCACCCGTAGTGGCAGCACCCGCACCCGCACCCGCGTAGTAGTCGTAGTGCTGCGGCTGGGGGTCCCTCCCCGCCGCCCCCGTCCTGCGGTGGCTGAGGTCCTGCCCCGCCAGGTGGGAATCGGGCTCCCGGTAGTACTCGTTCGAGTGGTAGACCGACGAGCTTGCGGTTCCCGTGCCGTGGGTGTGGCCGTGGATTGGATGGTTGCTCCCGCTGTTGTTGCTCCCGCTCCCGCTCTTGTGTTGGCGGTCGTAGTCGTAGTCGTGCTCGTAGTCGTAGTCGTATCCGTACCCGTATCCGTTGTGAGGGTCGTAGTCGAAGGGATAGGGGCGGTACTGGGGGGATCCGTAGTCGTAGTCGCCGTTGGCGTTGCCGTCGCCGCTGCTATTGCCGGTTTTGCTGCTGCTTCCGGTGTGGTGGTGTTGGTGTTGGTGGTTCCCCATCGAGAAGAGGCCCGCCCCGTCCTGGATGGGCTCCTCGTCGTCGCTCCACTCGTCCGTCTTTTTCTTCCGGAGCTTCTGGATCCTCCGCTGCCTCTGGCGCCTCCGGTACTGGTAGGGCCGGGACTGGCTCCCGTGGCGGCCGCTCTTGGTCCTTCCCTTCCCGTTGCAGTGGTCGTGCCGGATCATCATGATCCTCCCCACGGAGGAAAACTCGGCGACAAAGTGCAGGGCGATGCCCACCACCACCACGACCCCCAGGCCGTAAAAGACGAGGGAGGAGGCCTGCCACTGGCCGGAGGCGTCCATCTCGTTCATCGCGGTTTTCGCTGCGCCCGCATCCGGGCCCAGGCCCAGCTCCCCCGGCGCCAACGTGCCCGGGTCCAGGTTCAGGTCCAGGTTCAGCGCGACCGCCGCCGCGTCCCTCGCCAGCAGGGGGTCCTCGATGCGGTGCAGGATCTCTTCCCGGGCCGCCAGCTGCTCCGGGTCGTGCTTTTCCCGGTGGTGCCGGAGGTCCTGCCGCCCGTGGTAGGCGTGCCCGTGGGCGTGGTTGCCGTTGCTTCCGCTGTTGTGGTGGCTGTTTTTGTGTTTGTTTTTGTGGTTGTTGCCATTGTTACCATTGTTGCCATTGTTGCTGCCCCGCAAACGGGAACCGTCGTCGTTCGGGGTGCCGTCGTGGACGTCGCCGTCGCCGATCCCGGTGATGTAGTGCGGTGTCGTCCGTGGTCGCTTTCCCATCCTGGCAGAGCTGGGTTCGGCTGCAACGCGGTGTCGTGGATGCCTCGCAGGCTTCGGTCCCGACAACTATCCCGTTCCGTTCCGCTCTGCGGTTCGGCGGTGCCGTTTGTTGTTTTTGTTGTTTGTTGTTCTTTGTTGTTCTTTTGTCTTTGTTGCCTGTATCCACAGCGAACCACAGCCGGCTAAAACGAATCGAATCGAATCGAATCGATCGTTCACGGTGCCGAATGCGAATGCGAATGCGAATCAAGTTCGATAGGTTTGGATAGGATTGGATTCGATTGGATTCTGTTCAGATTCCTCCTGCTGCACTGTATCGAATCCAATTCGGTTGAATCGAGCGAGACCCAGCGTTCGATTCGATGTCTCTCTATTCCTACCTGTCTCTCTCTCTCTCTCTCTGAGTGTCCCTCTGGTTGGCGTTGAAGTGCTCTTGCACGGTAGTACGGTGTTGAATACCGAAAAGGGATCCTGTTCGGAAGGACTGAGGCGTTCCGTTCCGTGCCCTGCCGTGCCGCGCCGTATTGTAGCAATCAACGCAAGACACGATGCTTCTGATCGACACCGCACCGTTAGAAACTACGTACTGTAGCTAACTAGGTAAAGTAGGTATTTTGCTTCGTCAAGTACTACCGTACGGTACGTACGGAGGAATCAGATGGATCAGACTCGTACCAACAGTGCCTTACTACTGATTACTGCTGATAGTTTGTACTTTCGTTGATTGATTCATTCCCTACTTACCGTAGTTTACACGAAGTACCGTACCGTACAGAGAGGGGGGGGGTGTGGGGATCGTATTTTTCTTCTGATGCATGTTTCCAAACAGTCATCATCCGCCATGCCCGTATGGTACGTACCGGTACGAAAAACTACGAACAACATACCGGCACCATGCAACGGTACGTATGCATGGCATGGAAGCGCGGTACGGTATGTTGTTTCACTGTAAGCTGTCCGTACCGTACGGTATGGTAACTACTCGTACGCATGGAACCCTATGGTAGTCGTATGTACTCGTATTCGTCCGACCAGGCTCGCACGTACCGGCCCGTACGGTAGCATACGTCCTGTATCGTTGACGGTTCTCGTCGCAGAGCACCTCACCGTATCGTATCGTAGGCCTCGTACTACTACGCACGTTTCGAACCATTTGCATCGTACAGTGGGTACCTCGTACCTACTTCCGGTAATGGTACCGTACGTACACGTGTAGTCTTGATTCTTGATGGGGCATTACAGGATGGACTTTTTTTCTACAGTACTTCTACTCGTATTTTTGTGACCACAGGACTTCCCGGGTGTTCGTACGACTATCGTATCATTCGGCACTGGACCGCAGACCAGAGTTTACTCACGTAACCGTAGATGACTTTTCCTGTATTATTTATGACCATACTTATGGGCTGCGACGGTTTTGTGGGGTACGAGTACGTACGTACGAGTACCGATTGATTCGTGTCAACCGAAACCCCAACAAATTTTTGACGCCGGTTCCCATCGGTCGTTCGTGGGAAAATGACCCTTCTTCAAGTGGTGAAGGATTTTTTAAATTGCCCCTTCAACCGGTCCGATAAATCTTGACGCACCAACCCACCGAGAACCTTCCCCGGTTGCGAATCCATCCCACCACTCCCGCTGAAGAGCATACTGACCGTACGGTAGGGGGTCATTTGTGACAGCCCCGTTTGCGAACGCTCGTTCTTTCCCATCAATCCCACCATACACCAATCCATGTTGTGGAACGGTCCGATCCGTACTCGTATCCTCTGTGTGTCGTGTACTGTACTTTACGGTGCGTACGGTACAGTATGCACTTTTTGGTAGGAGAAAAACAGACCATCCCAAGGAAGTGCCTCCGTACGACACGCACCTCCGCATGCGGCCGGCACGAATCGTAGGTACCGTACTGTACCGTACGGTATGGTATCGTATCGTACGGTATGTTCTTTCGCTAGAACGCTAAACTGAACCGTGCGATCCCATTCCTTCCTATGGCGAGGAAGCCGGGAATTCCATAGTTCGTGCTGTGCCGACCAAAACCCAACACACAACACTACAGTACTGGACACCGGCCATCGATCCACACACACTGCCGCACCTGCGAAGCGCTTACGACACATTGCATCCAGGCCACCGAGGAGGGAGACAGACAGAGAGACCAAAAGAAAAACTCGCACTCGCATTCGCATTCGATTCGATCCGACACGGTTCGACAAAAACACGCAACGCCACGAAAGCCTCCTTTCCCCGAAGATCCCCGCACCGCACCGCACCGAAGCAAAGAAAAGCAAAGCAAAGCAAAACAAGCAAACCATTCGATGGGGAAACCAAGGATCCAGTGGGCCGAGGTGCTGGTCACCGGGACCAAAATCACCCCCCGGTACGAAGACCACGAGATCGACGACCTCTTCTACCAGGAGGACGAGATCGGCGAGATGCGGCACACGGCCTTTATGGTCGAGTGCGGCATCGAGGAGGACCCGCCCGACGGGCCGGACGTCCCCCCCGTGCCGTGGGGGGAGGCCCTCGCCAAGCTCCGGGAGGAGGCGGCGCTCGTGGCCCCGGCGGAGCCTCCCGCCCGGCTTCCGCCGCTGACGAAACGGCCCCTGCAGAGGGAGCTCCCCAGCCGCTCGCGGTCGACGACCGCCATCGGGAGACTGGCGGTCGAGCTCTCCCCGGGCCAGCACCGGGCCGGCACGGGCACCGGCAGGCCGTCGCTGGGCTCCGTCCTCGAGGAGCACCGGTCGCCGGTGGCAGCGGCTTCGGGTTCGGATGCGGCAAAGGCTCTCGTCGCACGGCCCCCCACCCCGCTCCCGCCGCCGCCGATGGCCGTCCCGGTGGCACCGCCGCCGTCCAGGGCAGAGCCCCCCCGCAAGGCCCTTTCCAGCGACGGGGTCAAGGACATGGGCCTCAGCCTGGCCTTTGCCAGGATCGATCGGATGGCGATCCAGCAGCGGGAGGCGGAGGCCAGGGATACACCGAGGAGGGTGCCCAACCGCAAGCTCTGCAAGACGCGCTCGGGGACCGTCGCCCTGTCGGCCAAGGAGGTCGACCGGAGGGTCATGGCCCTCTCCCTCGACGGCATCCTCAACGAGACGAAAAAGGGCCGGCCCGCCCCCGTGGTCCGCAAGATGGTCTCCAGCAAGTCGGGGACCCTCCACAAGGCGCGCAAGAAAAACTCCAAGAAGACCGGGACCGACAAAAAGAAGGACGCCAAAAGCAAGACCAGCAAGAAAGAGAAAGAGAAGGCGACTACGCGGGCCTCCAAGACCGGCAAAAAGACCAAGGTGCCGATGGAGATCACCGACGACGAGGGGGGCAGCAGCCCCAAGGCCAGGTCGTCCTCCCGAACGTCGAGGTCCAAGTCCCGGGACAAAGACAAGAAACCAAAGGACAGCAAGGCCGGCAGAAAATCCGTCACGCGGCAAAAAAGCGAGAGCTCGCGGACGACCACCTGCGTCTCCGACGACGACGACGAGGAATTCCTGCAGTTCCTCGAGGACTTTGCCTCGCCGTCGGACGAGGAATCCGTCTTTAGCAGCGACGTTTCCATCTCCACCTGCTACGACAGCGACTCCTCCTTTGAGCACCGCATGCCCCTCCGCGAGCGGCTGGCCGCAAGGGCACCCAGGGCACCCGTGCGGCGCCGGTCGCCCTCCAAGAAAAAGAGCTCGGGGAAAAAAGCGGCCTCGTCCCGCAGCGGCTCCGACACGGACGAAACCAAGGCCAAAAAGAAGAAAAAGAAAAAGAAGGGAGCGGGCTCGGACTACGACAGCGACCGGAAAGACCCGGAAAAGAAAAAGAAGAAGAAAAAGAGGAGGGAGTCGGCGAGCTGATGTGGCGACCAGAGAAAGCCTTGCCCGCAGGGGAAAGAATCAAGAGCCGGCAACACGGGCAACAAAAACGTCCAAGATCCGACGGATCGATCACCAAAAACGACCGATCAATCACCAAAAACCGATGCCTCAGAGGCAGGATGTCCAGAGATTGGATCAAAGAGGCAACACATGCCCTCTTTGAAGAATACTACGACTGCACCGGAAAGCCTAGTCTGGTTGGTGAAAATCAAAGGGTGAGCGAGGGGTGCAATGCCTTTGTTCTTCGAATCAATACACCCTTACCGGACAGCGTGGTTCGGTTTGCTTGGATTGCAGGGTGGATGAGGGGTGTGATGCATTTGATTTTCGGATCAACGACACCCGGATCGGACAGCGTGGTTCGGTTCGGCACGGCAAAACGAAGCCCCCAGAGAACCATTGATCGAACCAAACGTGCCTAGTGGTACAGACGAGCACGCACGCAAACGAACGAAATGGTGCTTGGGTTCGGTTTGTGCAAGATTTGAATCAATCGGTGCGGCAACGAACACAACCCAGAATGGCGTCACAGATATAGAAATCACCGGCTTCTTTGGCATTGGGTAGTGTAGGCGACATAAACATACAGTATCGGGCAGCGCCCCTGGTTTGTTCTTGACGTTTTTGCATTCGATTGGTATTTGAAACTAGCACACAGATCGTTAGCCTCCTTGATTTCTTTTTGGAAGCAGTTTAGTCATTCATAGAAACAGATCGGTCTGCCTGATCACAAAAATCTCTTCAGTCAGACGAATCTAGTGTCGGGTGTTCGAATACTAACAGCAGTAAAGATTTTGGGCTTCGCAAGCTCAGGTCAGAGAGCGAGGTGATAGAAAATAACACGATTCATTCAATTTAAAATCTGTTGACTAAAAACCTGTTTCAGGCACGAAAAGATCTAGAGGACCGACACCTATACGTTTCTCATTTTTGTCCCACGGATATTGCAAAGTAAGGATTCTTTTGCAATTCATAGATTGTTCTGCAACCTTCCCCGCTCTGCAAGCCGGGGCTGTTGCTACAGTAGAAATTGACACTCGGATCGCTGTCTCAAGCAGCGGACTTCAGCTTCTTGTCTCCCTTGGGAGCTTTCGTCTTTTTTCCCTCATCACCGCCAATAGTTGGTGCGCCTGTAGACGGAGAAGTCGAAGGAGAAACAGAAGGAGAACTGGTAGGAAAACCAGAGGGTAATTTGGTGGTTACGCGAGTAGTAGGATAGAGGCTCGGAGGGAAGCTCGTATTACTGGAGCCAAAAGAGGTCATGGAAGAAGGCACCGTGGTGGCTGCGCTGTCGATAGCCCCATCATCGATGAGTCCTCCTGATTCCTCTCCGGTCGGCGCCTTTGTCTTCTTCGAACTGAGTGATTTCGATGCCTTTGTTTCGGTGGGCGCTTTGGACTTCTTCACGCCAACTGATTTCGATGCCTTGGAAGAAACCGCTTCGGTAGGTACGGCAGTAGGCGACTGGGTGACCGTGCCGCCGAGAGCTCCCTCGTCTACAGCTCCCTCGTCTACAGCTCCTCCTTCTGGTACATGGTCAGTTGACGAGTCTGCAGTTTTAGATTTGCTCGATTTCGACAACTTTTCAACAGCGGGTACTTTTGACTTTTTATCGGGAAGAGACTTTTCTGCCTTGGACTTGCTAAACTTTTCTCCCTTCGATTTGTCTGATTTGGGTACCTTCGATTTGTCAGATTTGTCGGACTTGGATGCGTACGATTTACCTGCCTTGGAATCGCTGGTCTTCTCTGCAATCGATTTGCTTGATTTACCTTCCTTGGATTTATCGGATTTACCTGCCTTGCTCTCGAGAGATCCAATAACCCCGAATGAAGTTTTTTCAGGGTTGCTGCCACCGCGAAATCCGAGGTCTCTTTTGCGGAGCTGCCATTCGCTTTCTGCATTCACACACGAGGCGAGAACGACGAGAATCAAGATGGACAATGATGTGCGAAGACAGCTTCGGCAAATGCTACTTGGAGTGGAAGTTTTCATCTTTGTTTTGATAGTGAGTGACAATGTGCAAATGGAATTTATGAAATCAGTTGAACTCTTTGACGTATGCTTCGTTCTAGACGGTGCCCGATTTTGTGAGCTGCGGATCTGAAACGATTCGAAATGAATGATCGTGTTTTGCTTGCAACAGCAATCGGCGAGAGAAGTCGAGGGATGAAGGTGCACCCGTCATGTTTAATTCGATACAAATGAATCGGTTGAACGACGAAGTACAGGTGCAAGCCATGTGTTGGCGATTTCCGTTTAATCTTTTGTAGGGATCCAAGTGCTCGGTGAAGATTTTTGCTCCATCTCGTTTATGTGTTTTCTCTTTTAATCCCTTTCAGTATATTTGATCGATTTTGGTTTTGATAGGAATGGTATGCTTCACCATTTGCAGTCGTTTTGATGTGAGAGCTGTCTCGAGGAGAGAAAATGATTTGAATTTCGATTTCAGGTTTTCCCGTTCCTTCTTTTCAATCGCGAGTACTTCTACCGGTACCAGTTGTGATTTCAGATGAAAATTTTCCTTTATCGTTATCTTCACTGACACGAGTGTTTGCTAGCAATTGCTAGCAATTCATGACCGTGCCGAGTATCCAATGGTGAAATCAGTTCGATTAGTATGATGATACGAAAGGTAGTTGAGGCATGGGCCACTGTCGAGTATTGCCCTCAAGTAGTTCGTATGACTGGATACTACTTACATCAGTATCGAAATCTTGACATCATATTGTTGTTCCATCTTTCCAACAGGGAGCTGGTGACAAACATGGTCGGCAAATTGGGAGTACAGAAGATCGTTTCCTTATTTCTTGCCACTATGGCTATAAGAGCCTCCTGTGGTAACTTCATTCTTCCATCACCTCAGTGATTCGATCTACACGATTGTTTGTTCTTAAAGCACGCTGTCTCATTATATCGTAACAGCCCTCCACACATCTCTTCAGGTCTTTCCAATACAGTTATTGAGAACACAGAACATTCCCCCCCCGTAGCCGGGAGAGAAATAGACTCACCATCATAGAAAGAGGCCCCCGTGTGCGATCTGGGGAAGGGATCAACCATGGAGGGGACGTCACGAGGCGCGGACGCGGCAATAAGATCATCGAAGGGGATTGCTCATGGGAGAAATAGAAAAGAAGTATACTAGTGTTTTGCTGAGGTTTGGTCCAACCAAACTGCAGCGCTGTTCACGAAGTTTTTCGGTTGAAGGGCAACTCTTATTCAAACAGTGTTATGATGGACCGTCAATGTCATCAAAATTTATTTGTTATATATCATTATAATGAGTATCTTATTACAGTCATTCTAGAGGTAGCTCGTGTAGCACCAAAGAGAATGGATGAAAGGAATTTTAATCATAATATCACCGGAAAGGGAGTTGTGAACAATGGAGAGTTTTCTAATCAACCGTAACCGCCTTTGCAAGATTCCTGGGTGTATCTGGGTTGATTCCACTGCGTACGGACAAAGCGAACAAGAAGTGAGGAAAATAATGATGAGGACAGAGGCAATTGGCGCACATTTAATTTTCGCCGTATGTAACATTCTTGCAGACTTACCGCAGTAATGCAAGCTCGTATGCAATGAGCTGGAGCGGAATGACGCCTGTTAGAGCAGTCATTGGACCATTTTGCGGGATAACAATAGGATTATCATCCAGGTCCCGTGCCAAAGACGGCTTGTCTGTAATAATGATGAGTTCAGCTCCGCGTGCTTTCACTTCTTCGGCCGCTGATCTCATATGGTGGGCATGTTGATCGTCCAAAATGAACATAATGATAGGTGTTGCCCCAAACTTTCCCTTTTCACCTTCAATGAGAGCAAATGGCCCGTGTTTCAGAGCACCACCACTGTAGCCCTCCGCATGGAGGTAACACATTTCTTTGATTTTGAGCGCACCCTCGTAAGCCACTGGTTCGGCGTATCCTTTTCCAAGAACGAAGCAATGCTCTTTGTCCATGAGTCGCTCAGCTACTTTTTTGCATTGTTCTTGGCATGTTTTCATAGTCATCCCAATCGTGATTGGTAATCTCATGAGCGAATCCTTGACCAATCGCGCTTCCATATTTGCGGGTCGACCCGATAGCCGGTCACGACATTCGCGGAACCAGCAGGCAATCAAAGCTAAGACCGTGACTTGAGTCGTGAACGCCTTGGTACTCGCAACTGCATTTTCTCTTCCTGCGTTGCAATATACTCCCAACTTCGTGGTGCGCGCAATCAAACTACCAACGGCGTTGACCACGCTCATTGATACTATGCCCTTCTCCATGGCGTTCTTGACAACTCTGTGGACGTCCTTTGTTTCACCAGATTGTGAAACCACAATCAGTCCTGTAGTCTCTGGTCGATCCATGCAAGGAAAGTCTTTCGATTCGGTTTCTGCAGCATCTATAGAAGCAACACTATCAAAGGATCCCAAATGCTTCATGATTCGCTCTCCGTATTTTGCCGCGTTCAGAGACGTCCCACAGGCACTCAGAGTCATATGCTTGACCTTCGACATTTTTTCTTCGTTTCGATCTAATCCTGCCAATGTCACTCTGTCTGTTGACATTCGGCCTCCAAAGTTTAGTGCTTGCGCGATGGCCTCGGGTTGCTCATTAAGTTCTTTCAAAGTCCAGTGAGGATAAGGGTCGGGCGATAGTTTTACCTGTTGATCGGGTGCTATCTGCTTCCGACTCAGATCGAGATTTCGCCCATCGGCATGCAAAACACCAATTTCTCCATCCTTCATGCTGATGAAATTTTTTGTATACCTATTGAACGCGGATGTTTCTGATGCAATAAATGTACGATCGGCGCCAAGTCCAATAACCAGCGGCGATCCATTGCAGGCTACTACCATCTCGTCTGGTGTGTCGGTACATACAATGGCTAATCCCCACGTTCCATCGCATCGATCAAGAGCCTTTTGAGTAGCATCCTTCAATGTAATGTTTTCGCTCCTGCCCTCTGCGTAGTATTTGCCTACCAGCTTGACAATGACCTCAGTATCGGTTTGCGAGGTAAAGGTATGGCCTTCACTCTGCAGCTCTCGTCTCAAGTCGTTTGCGTTGTTTAGGATTCCGTTGTGACACAACGCGATTTTCCCCGAGGAATCCAAGTGGGGGTGCGCATTTTCGTCGGTTTTGCCTCCATGAGTTGCCCTACGAGGTTCGGGTAGAACAGAGACAAATCGTTAGAGGAAATTAGACCGTAACAAAAACAACCCCGCCTTTTCTAAATTATGGAAAAACAGCGAGAACCATGACAAGCACAAATCAATTATGCATCACATACCATCGAGTGTGGGCAATTCCCGTAAAATGTCCGTGGTTTTGGGAGTGTTTCGCAACGAGTTCGATCGAATCAGCATTGTCCCCGTCCGAGGCATACTTGGTAATCGATAAAGCGCTCCCATCCGAAGGAACGGTAGCGATTCCTGCACTGTCGTATCCGCGATTTTTCAATATCGTCAGTCCGTCCAGTAGGAATTCGCGGGCATCCGCGTTCTTGTCGGTACCGATCACGCCAACAATTCCGCAGCAGTCCGTCGTGGAATCAGATGAAACGAATGTGGTCGTTGCTGCAGCGGCTGCAATCAGGGCAGCAGCGCTTGCTGTGTTCCACAAAGAAGAACCCGCATCCTCTGAATGGGCGGAAGAAGATAGCGTGGACGTCGCACGCGTCGATAGTTTGAATCGTTCCGATGACCCCGTAGATCGGCGGGAAAAAAGACTTCTGGCAGAGTTTTGGGATCCATTTCTCCCGGAAACAGAAGTTGATGCCCTGGATATTAGAAACTGGGCTCTTTGACGAAGCATTGTAGTAGTTGCTTGTTGCAATTTGACGCAAGCTCAGCACCAACTAATTTGGAAGTTATTTAATTGTGCGTCCCTCGTCTCTGTCGCGTCGTCAAATAATTTCGGAAATCAAGAATCATCGAGTTTTTGTCAAACGTGATAGGTCACTAGTACGAGACGTACTAGCAGCTACCATGGGAGTATGCTCGTACTTGTAATGTACGAAGTAGTAATACGTAGGGTACCTGGACTACCTTTTGGCAAAACTTGAACTAATTTGTACCCTGCCCAAAGGAAGAATCAATTTACATCCGTTGACTTTTTTTTCATGGGACGAGAATCCGATGACCAAAGAGACATAATTCAGTCTATTTTTTAATCTTGCGAGTATCATAATGCTACTCGTACGGAATCTACGTAGGACTAATACTAGTACATATTCGATTCCACCCTACAGGACCGATAGATAGGTACCATACGTACACACGTACGTACGAGTAATAGATTTAGGGGGACCGAACCCAGCTCACCCAACAGGGAGGAAGTGGTAGGATACTTCGTACAATACAGTACTTCTGATAAGAAGGTTCAATATCCTAGTAGTACAGAAAGGCATCTAACGCAAGAGATAGTAGTAGGACTCGTACTTCTACTGCACTTATGCTAACTACAGAACATGAGAAGAAATGCATACTGAAGATACTAGAATGGATTTCATACGGAGTTCCGTATTGCAGAGCAGGACAAGAAGAACTTGGACGACGAAGGAGCAGGAGTAGTAGTAGACATGGGAAGTTACTAGTACTACTAGGTAGTAGTACTAGTAGATCCTCTACTACTAGTAGTAATAATTCTGGTTGTGTTCACAGAAACTTCAATGGCATTTAATAAAGCAAGAAAAAGTGATGCAGGGAGGATTCCTAGTAGTAAAAGGAATGCACTGAGCCACCTGAATGAGAAAAAAATCAAGAAGGGCTGATTGGTCTCTAGACGGGCATCGCCAGCGCGTCTCAGGCATCTTTACTTGAGGCACGGGCAAAAGCAAGGGCCAAGTCTTGATCAGACCACCAGGTATAGTAGTTGTAGTACTACTACTACTAGTAGTAGTAGCAATCTGAACGTGGAAACAAAGCAGCGTGTGATGTTTTCATTTGGAGGCATAAAGCCAGCGAAAAGAGCCAGGGAACAAATCCTCAATTGCGCAAAACGACTACGCTTCAAAACAGAGATAGAAAGATTCTTGCACTCATTTATTGTTGAACATTTTCTTCGATGTATTTCATCGATTTGGACGGTGGAATGAAAGCAAAACCGGGTGCTTCTTCCGGCGCCGCGGTGACGAGTTGTTCGATAGCTCCATCCAGCGACAAACAGACAACCTCCAAGTCGTCTACTTTTGCCCTGTCTCCACCGACTGCCTCCAGAACGGCATCGTTTGCGTCTTCGAGACCCATGAAAATTGGCAACTTTGGCGGCAAACCTTCTCCTTGCTCTTCGGCTATATCGAGGCACGCCCACATTGGTACTCTCTGACCAATCGGATTCGTTCCCGCGGGTGCCCCCGCTTGCAAAATTGATGCCTTGCTCGGAATAATCACTGCTTTGTCGCCGCACCACAACTTAAATGCTTGCTCCAGGGGGAACGGGAGCAATTTCAAATCGACACCTTCTGTCGCATTGTCCGAACTTGCCTGAGCTTTCTCTAGTGCTGCTGCAGCTTCGGTGACGTCGCAGTAGAAAAAGGGCACGTCGAACGTCTTCTCTTCTCCCACGGTGATTTGGTATGCAACAGGGTTGTCCTCGGCCGTAGCTATGCAAAACAGGGGAAAGGATCGAAGATCTTCGGCAATGCCTTTCCATCCTTCTGATTCGAACATACGCATCTTTTCGTTATCACTCTCAGGAGAGGTTTCGGCAAAAAGACGAAAAGCCCCATGAGATAACGATGCAGGAACACTGGACACTAGTCCCCCTCTGTCTGTTGTCACCGCCGTCATAGATCGCCCGTCCCTGTGCAAAAATGCTCCAATCGGCGCAGCCATCATCGTTAGTAAAACGGCGCCGATTGACGTAGCGGCAGTGAATTGAAACATTCTGTTTTTGTTTTTGTTTGTGAAGAACGATCCGTAGGCAATAAGTAGACTAAGGGGTATGGTGAGTTATGGTTGCTTTGCCTGTTTCAAGTTGCAGAATCGATGATGGTCGTAAAAAATTGGAACAAATATTGGTTTGACTGTCAGTACGTACGTACCAGCATGCGTACCAATACCTACCATGTACCCAACCAATACCGTAAATTATGTAGGGTACCTTACGCGCTACCGAACGATACCTACCGTACCGTACAGCATTCATTGCCTTCAATTTCGTGATCGTTGATAATGAGTATTCCACGTGGAACTCATAATAAAGTATGACTTCTAACGATGGATACCGTAGTTCTACGGTGCCGTATTGTACGTACTCAAAGTGGAGGAAGTAGTTCCTCATCCTATTTTGGAGTTTGGTACGGTACGTACCTACGAACCGTGACAGACGGATTTGGTATTTTTTCAAAGGTCTCGCCCTGCTCTATTATTGTTTTTAAGACATGCTCGTGCAGCTCGTGTCTCGATGTTCGGCGATTTAGATTGGCGATATGATTTTACGACCCGGAAATAGTAATCGATCCAAATTGTTGGAACAGAGCGCGCCTGTAAGACAAGCAATCGGTGTGCACAATCCAATAGAATATTATTGTTTTCGAAAATCCCTACCGTATTGCTCCTCCGTTGCTGATCTGATCTGATCTCGCATCGTTATCATTATCACCAATTACTCATTCATTCATTAATTCAAAACATTGCAGATCTTCGGAGAGGAAAAGAAAAGATGACATCGTATGTGCAGTACAATCCAACCATGGCAACGGCGTCGATGACGATGGCCTCCCAGTCTGTTGACCACTACTCAAGTGACATGTCGTCATCAATCGATCCTTTTGTAGAATCACGGGACGTCTTGATCGAAAAGATGAAGTCTAACTTGATTCGATACGCTCGTTCCAATGATCGAAGAATGGTGCTGCGATGTCTCAAGGATGCCAGATTCTTATCTTACGTTCCTATGGATGCAGCAGACGAGCAATTGCGTATTCCTATTTCTGAATTGGAGAAAGAGATATCCAAGGAAGAATTCCTTTTGAATGGCATTAGTCTAAAACCTTATGATCAAGCTCAGGCGAAAAATGTCTGTCGTAATGAAGGAACAAGCAGTGGCAGCTTAAAGATGATCGGGACTTTGGCACAGATTTTATGCGAAGGAACTACAATGGACGGAAACAATTTGTATGAACGTGTCATTAATCGCGTAGCAAAAACTTCTGCAGAACCTGAGGTATACTATCACATCAATGCTATGATGGGAAATACTACTTTGAGTGTTAAGCAGCTGTCCCCGGAACAGATTTCCAAAGAGGAGGAAGCAAATGTCACCGATTTGAAATTGTACGAAACTGGAGGACAAATACAGATGGTTCTGGAAACGACGCATAGTTATGGTTTGTTTCGTGAAAAGGATGCAATTATTAATCGTCCTTGGATCATTGTGCACTGCAAAGTCCACGAGCGCGCTAACTTATCGAACAACGAAAGCTTTCGAAGTATGAATATTAAGACGCCAAGTTTGTACTAAAGTAATGATAGCGAAAATTGAATCGTTTGGATCATTTTTAAACAAGGATTCAAAAAGTTTCGGTCGGTGTGATGATATTCTCCAAAATTCCATTGACATGATGGAACAAGAAAAAGAATGAATTATTCGATGAACTGGTAAGACGAATATGTGTAATATAAACTGTGACGGAGACAGGTATAGCCAAATCAAAAATGTTTAGTGTTAGATAGATGAAAAGGCAAAAAGCCATCTAGCATATATGTTATGACCCCCAGCATTGCCAAAGGTATCAAATCAACAAAAATAGTTTTACTAGAAGCAGAAAAAAGTGCCACCAACACAAAGTGTTCTCCAATCACCGCCACTAGTATTACTCAAGCGAAAAATGTAGTTCCTTGTCCAAATTGTCGACAAAAGTGGTAAAACATGGAATTGATCTTTTCCAGAGGATTGTTGGTTTCCGGTTTCTGATTTGACTCAGTTGTAGAATTGAAGCTTGAAAGAATACAGTATCAGTCTTTGCTTCGTTCGCTCCAATATGTTTTATGAACGAGTACTCGTAGTATTTCGCCAAAACTTACGGCGAAGAGGAATTAGTCTTACCCTACGAATCTGGTACTGGTATAGCGCGCGGTTTGGCTTGGATCTTGATTCATACCGGTAGATGACAGAATTTTCAAGATGTGATTGTTATCGGGCGGAGAAGGAAGGTTCTTTCAAAAACGTTCAAACTACCGTCGCTGTTGATACGCAACATCGGTTTAACCACGCAAATCACAATACTACGTGCATGCAGTGTATGACGATATACCATTTTCCACCATGGCGTCCCGAATGGCTATCAAGACCATTGCAGCAGCACTGGATGCGACAGCTTTGCGAATCCCCGATCGAGTCGCCCTTGTTTCTGCGTCGCCCGAAGCACTGATGCAAACAGTTACGACAACCGATAGCAGAGGTATGAATGAAAGCCTTAATCTCGATCGCTATACTTACGGCGACTTTCGAGACAAAACAAATCGCTTGGCTGGGTTTCTTAGGGCGTACGGCTACGAAAAAAACGATGTAATGATGAGCGATTTGCCGAACGTGGCCGAAAATCTCATGCTGCAGATTGCCTGTAACAGGATTGGTGTCAGCTATGCGACTGCAAAAGGATTGGAGGGGATGGCAAAACTGACCAAAGTGAAAGGCGCAGTGTCCGCCACCGGGACTGGGTTCCTAGCCGAAACAAGCTTGTCCCTGCCATATTTAGGTGGGGATTTCTTGTTGGATCTGATTCACGGCACGACGAATAGTAGTGATGAAATCAGCGGTTTGTTCGGGTTGGACGAATTTGATCTCGAAGACAATGAACAAGATTTTGCTTGCGGTGACGAAGACGAAAACACCAAAAAATTGCCGCCGCATGCCTATTACAACAGCACGAAACCGTTCACGAACGAAGAGGCTTTAGAACTGGGAGCAGATGCTGCCTGGGAAGTGGCAATGGTCGAGGAAGACTCCGTCTGCATCGCTATTACGCTTTGCCACGCCTTTGGGATGGGATCGGCGGTGTGTTCAGCTTTGAAGGAAGGCGCCACGATTGTTTTGCCAGCGGTGGGGGGCATTCGTGGGTGTGGCGTTCCATCCCAGCGAGCCGAGGCCACCCTTCAGGTGCTGGAATCCGAACAATGCACTCTCCTCTTTGCCGATACGCATACATTGAAAGCATTCCCCGACGAAGAATCCATCGGCTACAATCTGGCGCTGAAAGGTGGGGTTTGTAAGGTAGGGAGCGGATCGCAATTCTTGGAGGAGACGGTGAAGTGTTTTGGAGCAAGTCTCCGAACTTTGGGCTCGAAAGCGAAATAATTGGAATTTAGAATCCTAGTGCAGTCATCAGATCGCACCAATGCCAATTGCTTGCTATCGTGCATCAGCATTCACAGGGCTAATCTTCACTTCAAGAATAAATCTTGGCTATTCATAGAAAACCTAGTCAATATAAATTCAAGCAAAGCCTGGTGGTGTGGTTTGGCGTATACTGTAGTTTGATTAGCAATGCAATGATGGCGAGCTTCCGCTCCTTTGGTAAAACAATCGGATCGATCCAAGTCTGACGTAGCATTTGTAGTATTATTGTGTTCCGAGTATATTTGTCGAGTCGTCCGTGCTTCCGTTCTTCGTTCGATAAAATCATCAAGTATTGTCTCGACAACTTAGATCCCGTACTTCATCTTCATGACCAATAGCCCCTGTTGTCCTAGCAAGATTTCGTTGATGAATGTGAAAATAGCGAGCCAGAATACGGGTGTGATATCAACGCCGAAGGCGGGAGGAATCTTACCCTTTGCCAGTCTCAACAAGGGTTCCGATGGCCAGGCCACGACAGCCCAGGGGAATTCATTCAGGTTGGTATCGGGGTACCACGATGCAACCACGCGGCACAACTAGATTAAGAACAACATCAAAAAGAGAATGAACGAGCAATGAGTAGGAGAAGTCAAGGCAAGCCAATCCAAAATCAAGAAATTACCAGTACCGCAAAATTGGGTCCAAGAATTCATCGAAAACCAAGAAATTGAACAGTGCAGCCCGCATTTTTCGACATCATTGGAGAAGTCAAGCAGTTTGAATAGGAAAGGAAGAAATATGAACAAAACTGATGATCGAAAATCAATTGTAACGGAGAATTCAACCTACCATAGCGAAGGACTAAAATGAAAGGAAAGAAAACAATGCATAACAAAAATGTTCCAGACTGTGAGTGGAAGTATCTGCATACGATCGCCGGGAATCGATCAATCTGAAAACGCCCCGCTCTCACAGATCATCATCAGCGATCCCTTACCATAAAGTTCAAGAATGGTCCCAATACCGTCGCGGTGGGTTTTACCCAGGCCTCGGTTTCCGCCAACAACATTCCGCTACCGGATGAAATCGCAACACCGACGCTTTCGGCGACGGAAGAAGCTATCGTTGGGTCTACCATAGACAGGGTGCTCGAGGATGATCTCGCGGCCGCGGATGCTACCGGAGACGTTGGGACGACGAAGGCCGAGACCCCACTCATGGCCGTTGCGGCCATCATCGCCCAGCAGATAACCAAGGAGAAACGATACATTTTGTTTTACTGTTTAGAGTATAGGAGGTGACGCTGGATGTAGAATGTCGAAGACAATAAAGTCGATCCGAGTTTGTTGCAGGCGAAGTATTGGAATATTGGAATACGCTTGCAAGATGATTTTTATTTACGTTGCTTCGAATCGACTTCGGAAGGTGCCATCATCATCGTCGTTGGTGTCTCCAATGTACCGTACGGCGGATTTTTTCGTATCGGTTGCTGATGACTAGAAATGATTCAGTTGCCACTTGGATCACGAGTGCTGACTGACGTTGTTAGTTTTTTTCATCGATCAAAATCTCAAAAAATCTTTCATCTTCATCTAAAATTACCAAAATTTTAAGATGAGAATCCCATGACACATCATCGCACTTCGATCACAACCAACCCAACGAAAAGCCATTGATACGAACCTTTTGTTCCTCTTCGTGAAATTGAAACATAATCCGAACACCGACCGCAACAATGTATTTTACACGATCCAAACAATTCGCTATTGCTTCCGCAGTATTGATGGCCGTTGCGACGTCTGTCGACGGTTTTGCCCCACCGGTCACACAACCTCAGCCATCCGCATCACGCCTCTCCATGGCACCAAATGAGCAGGATCCCCAGCAGCTACGACAGGGTTTGACGCGCGCTACGGCCGCGTTCGTGGTAGCGAGCACCATCTTTTTGTCGCCCACTGGCGCCCTGGCTCTCGAAGAGGACGCCGTCGCTGCGAGTGATTCCGCAACGACGACGTCCGTTGCAAAAACGCCGTCCGTTGCCCAGTGTGGCGTTTCCAAGAATTCCCCACCGTGCGTTTCCACATCGAACGTGCGCCAGTTGGATCTGTACGCTGCTCCCTGGACCTTTGACACCAGCGCCGACGAGGCTCTGGCTCGTTTGAAGGGTGCCGTCGAAGCCGAGCCATTGAACGCGATTGTGTCGACGGAGGACAGCAGCAGCCGGCATTTATTCGTAGACTCCAAGCGAAGCAAACTAGGAACTACCGCGTATCGAATGGAATTTGTAATCAACGATTCCGACAAGGTTATTACCTTTCGATCGAGTGCTCCATCGGATCTCACCGGACCCGATTTCGGATTGCAACGAAAACGATTGACCGAGATCCGCGAACGCTCCGGTGCCTTTGGTGTAATGGGAGAATCACTGGATTCGGCCGATACGAAATCGACGGGTGAAAAAGGATACGGCCCCCTCGGGCAGCTAAAGTCGTTCTATGGATATCAAAGTGGGGGTGGATTCGAAGACGTCCTAGCGGAATAAACTGCCGATTGAGCTGACAAACAAAGAAACAAGTGACGAAAAACTATTTAGCGTTTCGAGAAGTTAATACCAGAGACTCTTCTAAATGCCACAAGTCCAAAATGGCCAAAAAAAACAGCAAAGCACGAACCGGAATCAACAGGGGCCTTCTGCAATCTGCACTTTCTATAATAAAAATAAATTTCTGTAAATTTTTTTGCTGCAAGGTATTCAAAAGCAGTACAGCTATTTTCAATAATGAGTTTCAAGCAACACTAGAGCAATGGTGGCGTGGACCATGGGCATCCTTATTTTCGGCTTTTGCGAACCAATGCTACCGCAATACCTGCAACTGCTATCGCGGCACCTGTCATTAGAATGTGATTTGTTGGCATCGAAAGGTTGGATGTCGTCGACCCTTCCATTGCATCTTTGAGATCGATTGCAATCATTTTGGAAGCGATGGGATGATAGATATCCTTGTGTTTCAGAAATGTCGACAAGGCGATATTTTTTCCCATTTTGCTTCGATACAGACTCTTATACAGAGGGCGAATGTACTTCATACGTCCCTGCGAGGTAATGAATCGGACGGCAACGTGAATAATGCTCTCGTCTTCGGAGGCAATCGCGAGCTGGCAGTAACGAAACAATATTTCCGAATTTCTCGACTCGGCCAGTCGATAGAGCGCGTTCATTGCCCTGAGAGTGGAGACCTTTAGCGCCTTCTCTGCCGTTAGGGACTGCAGTGCGTCCAGGAAGCAAGTGATCTGACCGGAAGCCCACGCACTCGTTTCGTTCGTAGCCGGAGGAGAGCTTGCCGTTCCGCGGTCAAAGGCGCACCATGCATCCGCCAGGTCGGTCGAGGCTTTTGCCATGCTCTGGTCCAGGGGGGGCAAGACGGGCGGCATCCCTTGGGAATAGAACCACGCATCCCAATCGATCTCCCCCACCTTTGAATTCCCGGCAAAGTGTTGTAAGAAAAAGTCTTTGAAGTCGGTAGACGTTAGTGTTTTAGAGGCAAATCTCGCGACGTAGGCCTGAAAGAATTTCTCAAACTCTCGGGTGCCAACCAGGCGCTCCAGGTAGAGAAGAAAAGTGAACCCCTTTTCGTATGCCAGTGTGGAATAGGAATCATCGGGATCTCCGTCACCATTATTGAGAACCATGGATGTGTTTTCGGGAGCCGATACCAAAAATTCTTCGACAGTGTCTGCCATATCTTTTCTTCCTTCGATCGCATCAAAATCTAGAAATTTGGGGTTGTTTTTCATGCGTGCCATGATTTTGCGTTGGAGCCACGTCGTCCATCCCTCGTTAAGCCAAAAGTGGTCCCTTTCGCCATCATGATTTTGTAAAATGGAGAGGACAAAATATTGATGTGAGTATGCACTGGCATTTCTATGTTGGTGCAGAAGCAACAGAACAATAGCAAAGCTTACCATGTTGCATTGGTGACCAGGTTTCCTGTCCAGCTGAAAGTGGGGAGCAGAAAACGACACACGAAGAACAAAAAGAAACACAGCGGAGTGAGGAAACGTCTCATGGGAGAGATTGCAGATCGCCACGGCTACTAGACTGGTTTGTGCCTCCGCGGCCGTACCTGTGCGCGATTTCGTGGGCGACGACGTCGGCCAGCGACTTGTCCCCGGCCAGGAGGGTGGGAGTGACAAAGGTGAGGCATGGGTTCTCCATTCCTCCGTAGGGAAAACTCGGCGGCAGGCACAGGAGATCGTAGCGACCCCACGCGTAGTCCATTCCCGTGATTGCTTCGGCGGTGGACAGAAACATCTCCGTCTCGCTGAACTCGTAGGCCGCACTCTCGACGATGCCCGGTTCGCTCCAAACGGCGCACCGCTCGGAGATGGTCCGTTTGGTGAGGTCGCCGACCGCCAGGGCCAGGAGATACGAGCAGATGGGAACGGGCTGGTCCCAGGTGTACGTCTTCCCGCCGCTCGCTTTGTCCTCCTCCTCTTTCTTCAGCAAGGCCGACATGACACAGGTCGCCCAGCTCGGAACGGATGCTTTTGCCGTGTAGGTCATCTTTACCCCGCAACAATCTTGGCAAGGGACCAGGGAACGGGCGTGAATGGCCTGGCATTGTGTAAAGAGGTACGGGTGTTTCTTTCCGGCCGTTTGGGGCGGTGGAAGCCACTGGAGGGCGCTGCAGAATTTGGTGGTGGAATAGGAAACAGCGATCCGGCATTTGTCGTTGCTGTCGCGACGGGGCAAATCGATTTCCAGCCGGCGCCCCAGGTACGATTTGTCTTCTGCAGCGGGATGCAGTGTAAATTTCAGCGGATTCCCGTCGCCGCACGTCACCGAAGCAATGTCCAGATGAGCCGTGTCCAGATTTAGGGTGGTGGCATTCGATTCCAAGACACGAACGGAATAGGTTGCAACCGAACACAGGCGCTCCTTTTCAAAGTCTACGGAGATCTCCCAGTCCAGGTGGGTGACAATGGCTTCTTCGGGTTTCGAGAGGGACGTTAGGTCGGGCATGGCTGTGTTGTATGTTCTTTGAAATAAGACAAAGGATCCTTTGTAGGTGCCGTCGGTGGTGGGTTCTCGGTGTGGTGCCTCTTGTTGATTGATATCAATGATAATCGTTGGATTACCGTACCGTATGACGACGTACTGGATCACCCTTGTTGTACCGACCGTACGGTATGGTACTGGATACGAGTACCCTATGACTGAGGACTGAAGACCCAAGCGATGAGAATGAGAAGCGAATGGAATCAATGAGTCCGTGACTGAGATAACACGACTTGAGTGTGACTCGACTGATCTCACGACCAAAATTATTCGTCACGGTAGTACGGTATGTATCATAGAAACGTCACGTCAATACCGTACGGTACGTAGTACGTACGGTAGGATGATTGTGGAAGAAAGGAAGTACCGGTATGTTCTGTACGTACGGTACGGTACGGTATTGGAACTACTGTAGTTCTACTTACAGAAAAATAACTTCTTACTGTAGAAGATCTACGTACGGTACCGTACCTCGTAGCTGGTACTGTAGCAACAGGATAGGTTATGTCACGGGAGGAATCAAAATCTCTCGAAATCTCACAGATGTGAAAGATGAACAGAAGGCGTCGTATTAGTACGTAACGTACTCGTAACTCGTACAGTTCGTTCGGGTGAAAAGCATCTGGGAAAGTGAAGTAATCCATAATCCAGGACAACTACTACTGCACTGTACTTCTTATTGTACTCCAACTGCTTGTCAACCTCATTCGAAAGCCAGCAACGAAGCATCTGCTTTATGGAACAATGGACAACGACGCGATCAATGACAATAAAAATGACACACCTCCCACTTCCATGATACCCTGTCCCGACTGCGAACAGTTCATTCCACAACAAAACCTGGAGTTGCACCGTCTTCGGTCGTGCAGGGCCGGCAGGAGCAATGGCACCGGCAACGATCGCGGCCAGGATCGTGCAAGGACTGCCGCTGCGGTGACAACCCTCCGAACCACAACTAGCATTGCCGTAGGCGAAGAAAAGCAAGGCGATCATTCCGATTGCAACGAGGATGCACAAAAAAGGGTCGTTGTGACAGCGATCGACTCTGCGTCCAGGCGTCACCGGAAAACCCGCCGCGGAAATACGGACGACAGCAATTCGATGGCCCAATCCCCCCCGGTGTCGCGAGCAGAGGAACGCACCGGTTCTTTGGACCAAAGCAACGAAATCATCGACTTGATGGACGATTCCGAATCGTCGTCTAGGGGCTCCGATTCTCTCGATCGTCGAATGGATGTTTCCTACGGTTCGACTCCCATGAACGATCACGGCGATTCAATGGCGGTCAATCTGACTGGCATCGATTGGGAAGACCAAGGGGAGGACGATGGCGACCGCAAGATGCCGGCCAGGGATGCCAGCGCGCACGAAGCTCCTAGCGAGGACGAAGCCCTCGAAGACGACGCGGGCGAAAGCCATCACCACGACAGCGGTGCCGATCGGAAGCCACCGGCAATCGATCCCGGCGACGACGAGAACAGCAGCGAACCCGCCGAAAACGACGCCCGCGACCAATGGAGCTGTCCGAGATGCACCCTCTTGAACGAAAACACTTCGCCGGTGTGCGATGCCTGTGGCTACCACAACCTCGAGATCGAGAACGCGCTGATCCGTCGCAACAACTACGATATGCTCCATACTCCAGAGGAACATCCGCACCAACGACCGCAGCAGCCTCTACCGGCATCGCCCTCAAGCCCGTCTCACCTTGGGTTGATTGGCAGTGGAGCGTTGATTGGTGCTGCCGTGGGAATGGCGGGGAACTGGTTGCAGGGGCGAGGCACACTCAGCGGTGCCCTCAACGGGGGGTCCACCGGTGCCATGGGTGGCGTCCTGCTGCGCGAGGTCCTTCTAAGCAACAATCGAGACAACAACAACAACAACAACAACGGATCGTTCCCGGTGGCACCGGAAGCAACAAGTACTGGAGCTCAATGGCCTGTGGGGCCCGGTGCAAGAAACGACGGTGACGATGAAATCATTGACATTACTTCGCCAATCAGAAACAGCAACCAACAATGGAACAGAAACGAGGCGAGTTTCCGTCCCAGAAACGCTGCGGTCACTCGATCTTCTTTCGCGACGGGACTCGCAAGGTATCCTGTTGCGGGTGATGCCACGAGTAGGCATGGAATGAGAACCGAGTATCAAAGAAGAAGTCAAGACCCTGTAAGACACCGTTCGGTGGTGATCATCAATGATAATGGCAACCGAGTCAGAGTGGTTACCAGTGGTAACTCTTCGATTCGTGTATCGAGACGTGAACACAATGCAAACACTGCTGGGACGCATATTCCTCTCACCTCGGATACCGCCCAAACGAGGACGAGAGCGCTCCATAGTTTGCTGGACGATTGGCAACAAACGGAGAATTCCATAAACTCTGTGTCTTCCATCCGTGGCCTCGATCGTCATCGCCACCAACGACAAAACGAGGTTCTATATCAATTACTGAGTAGAAATCAGAGAGCAGCAGCCGGGAGCAATCACATTGATTTAGACAACGCAAGCTACGAGGAGCTACTGCACAGGTTTGGGGACGGGACGGAAAACCTGGGAGCCCAAGAGAGCGAAATTCGTCGCTTGCCAGTTCATGTCGTGGGTGATGTTCCGTTGCCGGAGGACGCCCGCCAGTGCCTCATATGCCTAGAAGATTTCGAAAAGGGCGAGATGCGGACGATACTTCCTTGCCTCCACGGTTTCCATCAGAACTGCTGCCACAAGTGGTTAAAAACAAACGGTTCCTGTCCAGTTTGCAAGTACCGAATATCGTCTTAATGTGTGTAGAATGTAAATAGGGAAGGCACTGTGCAAGAGTGGCCTATGGGTGGTCGTTTTTGTTGCCTTCCAACAGACGTTCAATAGATTCTACCGGATCATTCTTTTTTGGCAACTAACAGCGTCCATCTCCCTTTCCTTTCAATAGGACCCATGTGTTGATTGGACGGTTTGACTCGACAGAACGAGAAGCAAGCTTGCCAACCACACCAGCAAAGGGTTGCTTTGAAAAATTAGATGTTTTCTTACTTCGATGAACAGGTCATTTTTTAATACTGGTAGTTCTAGATTGTTTTGTCTCTCGTCTTTATAGATTAACCGACTCGAATTTCGAAAGCTTTGAAATTCATTCTAGGCAGCAAAGTAGATTCTCCTCTCTTGCTTTGGAAAAGAGTGAGCGTTCGCAAGGCTAAAAGAAAATTTATCTTGCCACATCGATTTTCGTCGATCGCTCAGTCAGATCGGGTGCATCCCACCGAATCAATGTTGTATCTCAAAGGAAATGGATGAGTTGGGGGCCATTTTTCGATTGAGATCCATTTCATGCGTCGTGATGTGAACCAATATTCCTGGATCCACAAGTGTTCTACATCTCTTCTCGGCACTGATTCCACACGTTCGTTAGGTGTCATGCGTCTTTCCAACGTAACCCGGAAAATGCAGGCTCACAAAGAGGTGCCATAGTCACACTTCAGTTTGATCGTCGCAGACTAAAAATATGTTTCTCGCGTTGATTCTAATTTCACTGTCCGCATTGTTATTCGACGTTTCGGGATATAGAATCAATCGTCGTTGTCTATTGTCTGATACAGGACCATTCGTAAGACATTTGTCGTGACGACACAGACAACCCAAGAAAACAAGAAAGTTGCCAGTACATCGGTAGTTACTTTCAGTAAAACCGCATATTCTTGAGAATGTACCACTGTCGATAAGGATGTGATGACGGTGAGTGAGACAGAAATCAGAACCATCAACACGAGAATCGATCCAACCAGAAGACTTTCTAAACAAAACAGCACAAGCATTCCCCATAGGACACCCTCAGATGTCTCGTCATCATTGGGTATCCTTCGATGCTGCGAGTCTTCCTGACTGGATGAAAAAGGAGATAGAAATGACCTTGCACGCCCTAAAACACTATCTACCGAGGGAGCGAAAGTTGTTGCGAATAGGTGATACTTGTTATCGGCCATGACGCAGGTCAATGCAATGACCGCGAAGGGACCGATGACCATGAACGCGGTGGGAGATATTAGACTCGGGAGCATTGAGTGCATATAGTCGGATTCAAGCGGCGAAGAAGATGAGAGGTCAGAACCATACTCCTCGCGATATATTATCCCTCGATTCCTTCCATTGAAAAAGGTGCTGTTGTTTCCGTGACTGTTCCCAACGCCATTTAGACTCGCGAGTGCAAATTCCAGAACATCATAGATTTTGGTTATCTTACTCGCCGATGATGGAATTGGTACTTCTTGTATCTCGGAGAATATCAACAAAAATGCATCCATGAAAAGCGAAATGATATTCTCAGCATTTGATGAAAGGATCCAATGAAATAACAAGATTCCTATCGAAAATTCTAGCAATGCAGTTTGGTTGTCGTCTGACGCCAGAAATCGAATGAAGTATAATAATTCTGTTACTACTACATAGAACGGCAGAGTTGCATCTCGAAATTTTGCGAGGATCACCCCCTGGAGAGCTGCGATGTCATTTGGGATTTCTATTGTCAACCTTGTCACTCTGTTTGTCGATATGGGTGATTCTTGACTACGACTTACTACAGAATGTTCTTCTTCGCGGTTGGTGAAACTGTTCATCATGTATGGATTGATGAAATACAAACATCAGAAAATTCTATTGGTCATATTGCGACACTGTAGTTGGCAAAAGTTGTAGATTATTGATGACAAGGAGGTGATGCTCCCAAGAAAAAATTCTGCGAAAAAGAAACGCCAACAACAGTCGTGCCGAAGTGCACTGCTGACCAGAATTACGGCTACGGTACCGTACGTCCTTTACACAAGGAGGAATTTCCTACGTAATACGCATGGTACCGTAGCGTACGTACGGTACAGAAATCCCGCAGAGTACTTCTAATTCCTACTGTATCACTTCACGTTTTCTGACATCACCGACGTGCAAAACAGACGGGAAGATGATTATTTAGGAGCATAGGGTAAAGTACCTTACTTACGGTACGAGTTTGGGTTCGAATTAAGACTATTGATTTCTAACAGGTTATGAGTACATAAAACGCGCCAGTTTTTTGCTCACTTTGCTTGCTTGTTAACTCAAGCACAAGGACCAATCAGAATTAGAGAATCBRTCAGTGGGAAAGGGTTTTCCCTCCTCTTTCGGTAGATGCCCATATTGTATGTCTTTCCTGTCAGAGAACCTTTTCGGGCTTGTTGATTTCTGAGCTCACGAAAAATACAAAATATTTTCATTAAATCAACCTCAACAAGGCAAGCTGTCACTCCTCCAGAACTTTATCAATATCCAACCAATCKCGCTCACAAGACAAGTGTTACAATCCTTACATCAAGAGGAAGAGGACCGTGAAGTAGCGGATCAATCCATCAAGTAGTTCCGGAGCAACAGGAGTCCTACGTACAGACGCGAAAACAGCAAAAAACAGCAACGACGAACTCCCCAGTGTAACTAAAACGAATCGACCTTCC